ACAAACAGAAAATTAGAACCTTGCAGTACTCCTAGTACTTTGTTCATCTTCTTACTTAATAAGTTATCACTACTTTTCTATCTTCCCTCAAGAGAAGAAATGTCACCTTCAAATTATTTAAATATTTATCTATTACACTTGAAAGTAGCTATGTCAGCAAACTTCTAAATAATAAATAAAGATTCAGATAGATATTATTTAATACAGACAGCTTCTATTGGACTAGTTAGAAAATGAGGACATGAACCTTGATGAAGTGTAAAAACTATTAGCCTAAGTTGACTAGGTTTTCCTTTCTTTTGGCTTAAACTAACGAAACCCTAGCCCTTATGGGCGTTTACAACAACTTTTAGTTAATATTTCATGATTTAAGGAAGAATTAGGAAAACTGTTTCGATTCGATTTCATCTCTAATCTATCCCTGATCCTCTGTTATTCCTCTTTATACAATCGGCTATGCTTCGTCTATAAACTATCAAGCGTATAAATAAAATTAATAACTAGTAATTATATTAATTTAATAACTGCTTATTTGTCAGTCTAGTAAGCGGATAAGATAAATGAAGCTTACTTATATTGTTGATAGTAAGGATGAAATAGTCCAATGGTTCTCTTAGATAGAACGCATATATTAAATTACATTTTTCACAAGGAAATCAACTTTTAAAAGTCCCGATATCAACAAAATGAAGACATAACAAAATTGTATCATTTCAAAATCGTTTTTCCTCAATTAATCAATATTTCTTATCTTATTTTTTTAGATAAAAAGAATGCGGAAACTTTAAGCTACTATACATTTTTAAATATTATAAAAATAGATATGGAAATACGAAACAAGTTCAACGTACTCTAATAGAATATATAATTATCTATTTAAAAGTAGTTGTAACCCTGCCGCCATCTTTTGGAGAAATTTTATTAATAATTAAAAGAGCTTAAAGTTTGTCATAAAGTTGGGAATATTAAATTTTGACTAAAAGGCAAATATCCTTTCTATATTCGAATAAAGCTTGTTTTAATGGCAGATATATAAATTAATAAGAAGTAATTCATGAATAATAAATACTACGGTATATTCGTCTAATTTAGGCAACTTTAACGAGCGTTTATATTTAGGTCAATAGAAGAAGGAAGAAAAAATAGCGAAAAAAACTTCTATATGTATACACAAATGTCTTAACCTTGAAATGTAGGACAGTTATATTTACTTAATAGTTTTGTATAACTGATTTATAGGCTAGATTTGAGACTATTAGATATTACTATGAAGCCCATCCAACCATTTTATTTCTCTTGGTTTTTTTTTATCTATCCAGTTTCAGCTAAATCTATATAAGTAAGAACTATTAGGATTTTTAAATAAGGGGACACGATTATAATCTATATATAAGATATAGCATGCAAAATGAATAAATTAAAAAAAATAACAGTGTAGAAGAATTAATATAGAAACTAATAAAATTCAACTAGCATATCTCGGTTAATTAACTGTAATAAATATATATCCTTCTTTAGTAGTAATCTTTAGAGAGAGAGAGAGAGTGTGTGGAATGGATAAAAAAAATAACATATTTGTTCTTTACGGTATTTTAACAAATCTCTTCTTATATGTTCGATCATTCTCTATTCATGGTTTGTCAGTCCATGCATCGTACAAACTGACCAAACATCTTTTACAAACCATGAAAAATTTTAATTGCAATTATTCATTCCATCATAGTTCATAAAAGTATATTTAATTAGTAGTTTCGAAGATATATCTAGGTTCATTTCCCAACCAAACTATCAAGGTCGTAGCAAATATAAATGTGTAGGAAACTCAAATAGAACTTATGGAGTTTTCCTGGAAATTCACTCCATTCTCACACATAAATCCAATGGTATGAAGAGATAGATAGAGAGAGAGAGAAAGAGAGCAAACTGTATAAAGGTTGTTGTCTTAAGAGAAAGAGAATTTTCATGAAATTTTCTTAAAAAATTAAAGACAATATTGTAAATATTAAAGATCGTTTGTCTTTATTTTCTGCATTACTGAAAACCCCTTTTTACGTTCATTTTAGAGAATCGTTCGTATTAATTCCTTTCTTTTCTCTTCGTTAGACTTTAATACAACCTTTTCTTTCTTTCTTTTCTATTATAAAATAGTTTTAATAATTGTTATTTAGTTTCTGGAAAATGACGTCATTATTGAACTACGTGATGTTTATAGTGAACCTTTAACCCCAAACTCAAAGAAAATGCAAACTATGTAGATTAATGACCAGGCAGAAAGGCAACAACTGGTAGAACAAAATTCAAATGACGTCACAGATGGTTACATAAATAAGCTGGCGAGACAGAGAAGCTTCAGAGGAGTTTAGGCGTTCTATTTATCATGACAGAAGCGGCATCAGACGACTCAAAGAATTATATTTATATATGTGTCAGCGTATTAATAATATGTATAATAATTATTGTAGGATTAATTGGTAAGTTAAGAATTAGTTAAGTAATTAATTTTTATTAATATTCTATCATAATTTTATTATTAAATATTTAAAAAATGGAAGAAATATACTTAATTATTTTAATATATAGGCTTATAATACTTATAAACTGTTTATTACAGTATTTATTAACTAAATATTTTCTCTTTTTCCTCTTTCTTCGGCTTCTTCTTCTTCTTCTTCTTTGACTTTTAAAATAGGAAACATTCTGGTTATAATTGTTATTCAAAAAATGAAGAGAAAACTACAAACCTCCTGCAATTATTTGATTATGAACTTGTCAGTTTGTGATTTACTTTTCGTATCAATAGTTTTACCATTTTCGGCTTATACTTACATAATTCAACATTGGAATTTATCATGGGTACTTTGTCAATTCTTAGGCTTTTTTAGCTATATGCTTACAGGTAAGAGAATTTTTAATAAATTAAATAACGTAATTAATTGAGTTATATATACATATATCCTAAATATGTTCATATATACTGTATATAATATATATAATTTATATAAATATATATATATAACTCAAGGTGACTAACGACCTTGAATGCCCCATGTCAAATTAGTGAAAACTCAAAAGTTTATTTAATGTAACTGTAAACGTCACGTAGAGATTTGGAACACCATAACAGAGGAGAACGGAAAGAATATCCATTTTCTTTACACAAACTAAGCTTTTGTAACGGAATAGCTTTCCAATAATTTTTTTATGTAAATTAAAGTTTCCAAATTGGTTTACAGTTTACTGTATAACTATAAATATTCAACCTTGATTTCTATGCATAAATAAGATAAGTAGCTATGTATGTATATGTTACTACTTTCATTTCATCCTCCGTTATACCCTATATGAAATAATTTATTAATCATTTACTTAATCAAGGTCGTTAGAAGCACGTATTTCCCGAGTTGATCGCCTTTAATTAAGCTCTTTTATACAAAATTTCAAGTATAAAGGAGACCATCAAAGGACTCTCTCTTTTAATATTGTCTTAACCTTTCATAGATTTTTAATATATGTATAAAAAATGAAATACGTTCCAAGATATTAATCTCCTCTCTTTTCTCTCTCGCTCACTCTCTTCTACTTCTTCTTCTTCGATCTTTAGGTACAACGTTAATCAACATAACGCTTATTGCCTGGACTAGATATAATTTGGTAACATGTCAGAAAATAATATTACCGAAGACCGGCTGGAAAATTCGATTGGCTATTGCTTCTTCTTGGGTGTTACCCGCTTTATGCCTACTTCCCCCTTTAACGAGAGTTTGGGGGCGATTTGATTACGTTCCTATTTTGGTTACTTGTAATCTACTATTGGATAAGGATTCGAAATCTTTTAAATTAGTTCTTTTAGTAACCAGAGCAGTTATACCGAGTATTCTCTGTGCCATTTGTTATACTTCAATCTACAAAACAACACTAAAGTAACAATAAACTTAATTTATTTCAAAATAGATACAAAACAAATATTAAGGCCTATCTAAATGATTCTAGGTTGTTTAAATATATTTTATCATTCTCCTTGTATACTTTCAAAATAATTAGTCTGGAGACAATACTTTAATTAATTGGTTCATTAGTCTTAATTAAGTTTATTATTACTACCGAAGAGCTAAATTTACAATGATAAAAAAAGATGGAAGAAGATCGGATAAGAGGGAAATATATCTAACTAGAATGACTGGAGCAATTTTTGCCGTTTTTACTATTTCGTATTTCCCTTGTACAATTACAAGCGCAATCGACTGGCAAAAACCTCTCAGTAAACATTTTCACATGTTTTGCGCCTTAACGGTCTACATAGGAAGTGCTATTAACCCTATTTTATATGGTCTACTCAATCCAACGTTTAAGAGGGCTTACAAGAATTTGTTGCGGAAGAATTATGGTTTGACAGAAACTAAAACAGATAAAGCACCACTAACAGATAGGTGGTGATTGTCTTTATTGATTGTAAGACTATCAGAACAAATGGACACAATTTCGCACCAAGACACGCACATGTACATGTATAAATTATATTTTATATGGCGCAGAACTATATCTCTTCTATCTAGATAAAAAGTTCATTCTTGAACGCTTAAAACATTCTAATTTCTGGGAAAATTCCTATAGAGTTTCTTACTAAAAATACTGTAAAATATTTGTACAATTAATGAGACTTTCTTGAAAAGTAACCGTATTGAATATTAGGGTTTTACTTGAAATACATCATTATTATAATTGATTGAATTAATTAATTTATTCATTCATTTGTTATTTATTTATATCATTGTCATTTTCGTATATATAATTCTTTCTTTCTGCTCTTTTTTTCTTTTTAATTCGTTATGGAATACATACATCATTATTCAATTAATTATTAGAAAGCAAATGGGAAAGAAGCATGTCAATACGTCATAATAAACTTATTTACACGAAATAATGTCATTCATTAGTCTTCTTTAACTCTTTTATATATATATACAGATATATATATATATATTCTTCTCATTCTTCTTCCTTTATTTCTTTTTCGTTTTGGTGTCCTCTTCACTCGATTCTTCTTCGCTGGATTCCTCTTCGCTAGATTCTTCTTCGCTAGACTCTTCTTCGCTACTAGATTCCTTTGTTTCCTTCTTACTGGAGGCTTCTTTTTTTGTTTCCTATTTTAGTCGTTTATAAAAGTTTTAAAGAAATAAGGAAAAGATATTATTTAGGTCAGAGTTTATCATACTTTTTTATCCTCTTCTTCTTCGCTCGATTCTTCCTCTTCGCTTGATTCTTCTTCTTCGCTGCTAGACTTCTCTACTTTTTTCGCCTTAGTTTTATCATCTTTTTCATCTTCAGAAGATTCTTCATCGCTTTCAGACTCTTCACTGCTACTTTCTTCTTTGCTCTCTGATTTAATGGCTGATGTATCCTTGTTATCTTTTCCTTTCTGAAATTCGTACATATGTTACATATTAGCCCTAACATATACTGTATAAAATATAATGTTTTTCAAGGAAAAGATAGAATTTAACTAACCTTTTCATCAATCTTTTCTTCCTCAGACTCTGAGTCTGATTCCTCTGAACTCTCCTCGCTTTCACTTTCATTTTTCTGAAGATATAAATGAAACTATTATATGCTGTATAATTATTTCTATTGTATATATAATTATATATTGTAATTAACCCTATCAATTTCTTTCTTTTTTTCTTTAGGATCATCTTCACTTTCAGAACTTTCCTCGGAGCTTTCCTCTTCTTCCTCAGAACTGCTTTCTTTAACTACCGTTTTCTTCTTTTCCTGTAAATTTGCCATAGATTCTTTTTATGCTTGATGCGAAAAAAATTTTAATGATGTAGGCTTATTGATTCTCTATCAATTTATAATAAGTCAGGTGTGCTAATTAAGGAATCATTTTAGTCTTAAACAATTTTCAGGGGAAAACTTTTGGCAGAACGAATGAAAATCTAATTTTAAATTAATGAAAAATTGCTACAAAGTGGAAACAACACTATAACTAATTATAGTTTCTTAATAAATACCTCTTTTACTACTGCTGCTTTTTCGTCTTCACTTTCTTCTTCACTTTCCTCGCTGGATTCCTCTGAAGATTCTTTCTTAACTGGTTTCTTCTTTTCTTCTTCGGATTCTTCTGACGAAGACTCTTCTGTAGATTCCTCTTCAGACTCGTCAGAACTCTCCTGTTTCTTAGCTGGCTTAGTCTACAGAGAATAATATTTGAGTTATTTCTACGATCTATACAAAAAGCGTTACCTGTGCTTCGGTTTTAGTCTTTTCTTCCTCTTCCTCGCTTGATTCTTCTTCGCTGGACTCTTCTTCCGACGAAGACGATTCTTTTCCTTTCCTCCCTTCTTTAACGTTTTTCGGCGAAGACTATCATGTTTACATACAATAACATATACTATGATGAACAATTATATAGATAATTTACTTTTTTCTTGTCTTGTTCACTTTCTGCACTCTCTTCACTGCTTTCTTCGGAAGACTCTTCCTCCGAGGATGTTTCTTTTCTCTTTTCTACTGTTTTAATCTCATTCTTTTTGGTCTAAAAAAATTATAAAGGGATTATGTGACAATCTTTTTCCGATAAGTAGGTACACAAGTTTAATACAATTAACTAACTTTAGTTTTCTCCTCTTCATCTTCACTCTCTTCACTCGTTTCACTCTCTTCTTCAGAGGAAGATTCTTTTTTCTTTTCCTTCTTTTTAGTTTCTTCCTTTTTAGCCTAAAATATTCAATTTAAAGGGCAAAATTATTTCTGATGTATATCTATAATTGGATGATTGCACTTTAGATTTACTGTCTTCATCTTCACTTTCCTCACTGCTTTCTTCCTCTTCTGAAGATTCTTCCTCGGAAGAAGACTCTTTTTTCTTTTCCTTCGTTTTAGAACCGTCCCTCTTGGTCTAAGATAATTTGTGAAAATGATTTTTTGATTTACTAAAACTATACTATATTCTATAAAAGAATGAACTAACTTTAGACTTTTTCTCTTTCTCTTCCTCAGAAGAAGACTCTTTTTTACTCCTCGTCTTTTTGGCATCTTTTTTCTATACGGAAGAATAATGTAGAAAATTAATTAGGTTAAAAAAATAAAGGAAAAGAGGGGGAGACTAATGCTTTTAAGGAGATATCCTCATAAAGTGTATAAAAGAAAAGATAATACTATATTGGAGGGTGATGTTACAAATATCAAATATAAGAATTTTTATTAATAATTTCCTTTAATTTTTTGTTATCTTCACTCTCTTCGCTCTCTTCGCTTTCTGAACTCTCTTCGGTACTTCCACTTTCTTCGCTTTCACTTTCTGACGATTTACTTGATTTCTTCTCTTGTTTTTTATCTTTCTTAGGCTTCTTCTGTCGACAAAGCGAATATAAAGTACTGGTATCCTTAATAAGTTTCCATGAAACTTTTGCTCGTATATATGAATATGAGTGCACAGTACTTACAGAACTCTTCTTTTTAGCATCACTCTCGTCACTCTCGTCACTTTCTTCGCTTTCCTCACTCTCTTCGGATTCTGAGTCTTTATCCTTCTTTTCTTTCTTCTTTTTCTTTTTCTAAAAACGCATTTTTTCACTAGATTGATAAATTTATGAAATTTTACTTTGTCCTTTTCTTCTTCAGTTTCCTCTTCTTCACTAGAGCTAATTTCAGTAGACTCTTCAGATTCTTCAGATGTTTCCTCCTCTTCCGCTTTCTTTTTCGCTTTCTTTTTCTTTTTCTACAAGAAAGAGCTAATCGTAAGCTAATTAGAATTTGGAGTATGTCTCTTAATAACCTTTTCAGACTCATCTGATTTTGTGGAGCCTGACTCTGGTATAGGTTTACTTTTTTTCTTTTTCTTTTTCTTCTTTTTTATGTGAAAAATGAGAAACTAAAGTTATTATTACTGCGGAAAAAAGAGAAGATTTGGTGGTTTGTATATACTTTTTCTGAACTGGACGCCGATTTCACAGAATCAGTTTCATCAGAGGATGACTCCTCTTCTTCGCTGCTTTTCTTGCTCTTCTTTTTCTTTTTTTTCTAAAAACACATAGAGAAAGAAAATAAAGAGCTTTTTTATTTTTTTTTTGTTTTTGTATTGAGTTATTAACTGTAAATTGTCCGTAATAGCCTATGTTAAAACATCTGGAAATGACTCGCAAGTACTTTGAAAAGCGCCATCTTTATTTTAGACAAGAAGGTAGAAAGTTTATAAATAGTATATTAAAGTGTTGACTGTTATAGATATGTACATTTGTAAAATGTAGCTCATACATCTTAAATACAGATATTATAAGGGTAAGAACCTTTTTAGGCGACTGTGAGGCATCGCTTCCAGATTTCGAATCACCGGATTTTGCATTTGAATCACTGCTATCTTCTTCCTTATTACGAGTAAAATAAATAGAACAATGAGAAGAGAGGCAGAGAAAAATTAAAGTTGCAAGTAAACTTACAGATGAACTCGAACTACTCGAACTACTCGAACTACTATCTGATATTGTCGCTAAATATTCTACTTCATCTTCTGGTATTTCTATTTTTAGATGAGAAAATAGCTTCTCCGTCTCGAGAGCATCAAAGAAAGCATCATAATCCTTTAAGAAAGAAAAACGTATTAGTCTTATCAATCTTTATCTATAACCAAGAGCTAATTAAATACTCCAATGTAATCTTCATCGTTAAAAACTTGAGGAGGAGCTGTACTTTTACCCTCAGTCGTTGCTTTTTCGATCATTCTATCCTTATCGGCTTTTCTCCTGGGATTTGATATATCAATAACTTCATGTTCAATTCCCTTTGATTCCAAGGTCCAGACAATATGATCTTGTTTCTTCTTTAGCTATTTTATCAGGAAGAGAAAAGGGTCACTAATTAAGCGCAAAATACGATTATTTCTGTATAGTTTTCACAATAATCAATTGAATTCGTCTTTGTAGTATTTTAAACAAAAGAAAAGAGTCTCTTTTATTATTTCTTTGTGTGTATGTTTCTCTTCTATGTACTAAAAATAAGAATAAATGTTTTGTATATTAAATAGCCTACCTGCCAACCACCAGGATTGCTGGAAATATATATCTGTAGAACCATTTTCACTATAGATAAAGTCTATTAACGTACTAATTATCCTTTTTAGTTAATCAAATATCTTCTTATTAAATCATTTCTTCGTTTGTTGAGCAATTTTTGCTAAAAATTATACTAAAAAGTAAGCAAATTTAAAAATAGAATCCTAGAAATATGCAGACGTACCAGTTGCTGTTGCCCTACTTACGCATGTCGGCTTTTCTCTATATGTTTACACTACTGAAATATAACCGGCCATACCTTTTCCCCATTTTACTATCCTAAACTTTTTATCTTAAACTTATTCCAACTCCATTTTCTTTCTATTGACGTACATTTTAGAAAGCTCTCTTTCTTTATTATCATCATTTTCCCCTCTTTTTAATTTAGTTAATATTAACCTTAATTATGTAAATTCTATGTTCTATATTATTCTCACCAAACTTTTAAGTCTTTAATAGAAAATCTCTTTTCGATTCGAAAACTAATCACAACTTTTTTCAGGCTGATTCGAACGCCATCTATAGTATAATATATATTTTCATTCTTGCTATAATACAAATTGTATTTGAGGGTATATTTTCAAGTGTAAAATCAAAATTACATAATATATAATTTATGCATAAAAAAAGAGGGCGGAATAAATGAATAGATAATCGCTACGCACTTGAACAAAAATGAAATATTAATGTATTTTTTTCTAAAAATAATGAAATAATGAATACAAAAAATGAACAAGTTTCATCATGAATGAGTGAGGCGGTTCTTATTAAAAATTGGTAGGTCATGACTATTATTAGGATAGCTATATCAAAAATCTTAAGCAATTTTTCTTTTCACTTCTCTCTCTCTCTCTCTGGTTTGTTGTATTCTCATTCATATACTATAGATATTCCGGTTTCTTTCACTGTTATTTGGATTAGGGAATATGACCAAAAATTTAACTCTGCAGTAGGTAGATAATTACCAAAGGTATTGTGGTCAACGTCTCCAGGGACACTTTGATTAAGTCTTGAAAATTGAGTTAATTTAATTTCCTTTCTTTTTCTCTCTCTCTCTCTCTCTCTCTCTCTCTCGTTCTTCCTAATACTCTCCACTTACTCTATGACCATTTTTAATGGACCATGAAGAAAGAGGTTGAGATGGAAAGGAAAAAATGGGAAAATCGACCAAATTTCTTTTTCATATAATATTATCGATATAACTAAATCATTCATTCAGTCTCTGTTTCTTATTATAATTGAACAACGTTTGTTGATTGCGACCCTCTCTATCATTGGTAGAAGAAGGAAAAGAAGAAAACTTGTGTACTTTCAATCAAGTAGAGAAATGATAGATGGCGCTCTACGTATACACTAGGTATTATACAGTATATTACAATGTTAACATGAAGCAAGAATTAATAGAAATCTCAATAATTTGATTGCGAGAAAGTGTATTTTTGTCTAAGCGAAAGAAAAATAAAAGTATATGAGATTTGTGCCTTAAAGAAAAAAGAGGAAGAAATTAAAGTATCTCCGCTATAGATTTTCAGTTAATTAACTTAATAAAAGAATCTTTAGACAGTGAAAACCGTTAATTGAAATAAATCAGCAAGTAAATTAATTGAATATATTTTCTTGCTTCCTTTAAAGTCATAAAGTCCTCACAAAGCGATTATAACATTAATCTCTTTATAAAGCTTAATAACAAAAGTCAAAGTTTTAAAGGTCTCTATAAACTTTTTCTAAGGAATTACGCTGTTGTAATTTAACAAAAACAATTGCTATAGAAACTGGAATCTCCCTAGGCCAATATGATAAAATAACTTCCTGTTCACTAATTTCTCTGACAGCATCAAAGTACATAAAAAGAATACAAGCCTTTAAGGGGATTGAAAGATTTACATTAGTTAAAATATTCTTATATGGTTAATTAATTAGAAAAAATATCAACCTGATAAGATGCTATAACAACGAGTAAGTGCCAAATAGCGTGAAGATAAGGAAATCTAATTTGTAACCAAAATTCACAAACGAATTTATCCAACAGCCATACAGACACGGCAAATAACCAAGTTAAAAGACATCTTTTACCTAAGTCGTTTACTTTTTTAATGCTGCATCTGTAACATAAGAAATATGAAAAAGGTGTGTACACAGGACTAAAAAAGAGAAGCCTCTTAAGGGGCTGACCTCACTTTTTCAATTGTAAGACAAGGACAACTGTTACGGGAATAGCTACAGCTAAAAGTACAAAGGCATTTATTGCCGGATAAGCGAAAGCTAGAATAGAAATTTTTACTCCAGCTGCACCTAAAAAATTTCTAAAATGAGTTTTCTTCATGTTTTTGCAAGGCCAAGGCATAAATTCTCTTGGCCACCATAACGCTGCAGCCGCTATAAGAACCCATAGTATTGCAATCTCGTCTAATAGTTGACCGGCTAAACTGAGTGTTGCGTGAAAATAGACGCTTCCAATCCCAACTACAGCCAATAACAACCAAACAACATATACGCCAGATGTCATCTTATTTGCATATTGCCTCGAGAGGAGGCAAAGTATTGGAGGGTAGATAAAAAAGAGAGCGTTACTTATCTATTCAATTGAGGAATATTTAAAATGAAGCGTTTTCCCAATAAAGAATAAAGCTTATGATATCATTAAAAGTGACTCACTGTGTTAAAAAATTCAGCGATATATATGGAAATTTTAAAGTTTTCCTCGCACCAATCCACTTTAGACGTCTGATATTTGAACGATTCAAAAATATTTTCCATTTTTACATAAAAAGTCATGATTTATTTATATCAAAATCTTGTTAAAAGTAACTATTTTCTATTCTATTTTCTCCCTGGTCAATATATATATTAAATATCTTTAACTGCTTAATACGTTGATCAATGTTGAAGATAACGCCCTAACGATAACGAAGATAATATATAATTTATAGACCAATAAAAAAGGACGTTTAGAATTTCGTACAAAAAAATATGTACGAAACTTTTAGACGTAAGATAGTTACGTATCGAATCAAATGCTTTTTGATATATACAGTATCAGTAAACTATTTGTAGCTACCCTAAAGAGATTTAAAAGACTGATATTGAAGATATCAGGTGCTACCTTTTGGAAGGGTGCGTAAGCATCTATATACAAACGCAGAGATCTATGGAGGGTAGCAGAAGAAGAATATATAATCCCATATATTGTGAAGCGGTTGGATAGCTAAAGAGAAGACGTTAAAGCTATATCTTTACAATAAGGGCAGTCAGTCATACTAAATATAAAAAGCTTTGAAAGTTTTTGATAACATTTTCCATTTATATAAATTATAAAGCGGGTTTCTAAAATGGAGTTAAACTAAATTATTAAAACAATAGAAAATGGCTACTTTTGAATTTTATCAAAGAAAAGTCATCATTTTCTCCTAAACAATATTCATTTCTAGATATTAATTATTATAAATAATTATAATTTCAAAGTAATTATTCATACACATCTTAATATGTAAAATATCAATATTTTCAATATTTTTAACGTGGCGATAAATAGTCTGTTGATACTGTATATTACACTGAAGAGAAAAAGGTTAGTAATATCACAAACAGAGAAGAAAGAGTGGAAAAGGGGAGAAAGAAAATAAGAGTGAAATATACTACTATACATATTAGAATATACAAAAAACGAGATGACGATAACACAAGTAGAATTATTATTAATATTTTATTAAGAAGGAAACGGAATGAAAATGAAAAGGTCGAAGCGAAAATATAGAAATTTTTTCATATTTGTTCTTTTAACCTTCTTTTTATTTACATTTTTTTATGTCCTTTCTTTTTACTATTTTTTTTACTGTTCTATCATATAAGAGAGATAGAAAGAAGAGAAGGAGAGAAAATGAAAGATACATTCACAGATAGATAGATAAATAGATAGATAGACAGACATATAGAGGTATTTATGCATTTAAGACTTTTTTTTAAAGAAAGAGTGTAGGTTAGGATAAAATTTTGAGACAGGAGAGAGAGAGAGAGAGAGAGAGAGAGAGAGAAAGAGAGGAGAGAAAGAAAGAAAAGGATGAGCTTTAAAAAATAATAATAATGGAAAAAAACAATTTGCATTCATAGTAAAGTGATCGACATAAATTGTCAAAAACTCCTAATTAACAGTTCTTAAATGATAACGATAACAATCGATAATAATCACAATTATAATTATAATAATAAGAATAACAATAATAAAAGTATTTACCGACATTGATAGGAACAGATTTTTTGTTTAACTAAACGTGTTTTAAGACTATACTAAAAGTTATTCTTTTTATTTTCAAGGTTATATTACAAGCTTTTACGCTGCATAGAAAATCTAACGTTTACTTTCTTCTCTTTTTCCTTCTTCTTCTTCTTCTTCTTCTTCTTCTTCCTCTCTGTTTTAAGTATAATGATGAATATCGTCCTTTTCACATTTCTTTATATTTCTTCCATCTTTTGCCTTTCCCAACATATCTAGTGTATCGTCATCGCTGATTTTCAAAAACTTTAAACAACCATTTAATCCTATTGTATATTTTCCTTTTGTCTTCTCTGTTATATCTTCCATTCCACCTAAGGAGAAAAAAAACCTCCTTTATACATTTTATACTCAGGATAAATAGATGCGGCAAAAAACATTTCTTTGCGGATTCTCTCCTCTAGAGACTCTTCACTCAATCAGCGTGCCTAATGACCAGATCTTTCTCACGGCTCTCCTTACTTCTCTTATTTGCGTAGGAGAAACCTAGAAAGTGTGGGAAGATTACCTATAAAAGTACTTCCGTCAACGTTTAACCGGACGTATTCGTTAGGAACAGTCTTCTCGATGGTTTTACCGCCGTCCACCTCCAACAAACCCCTCTTATCCTGCCTAAAAATAACAACAACAACATCCAAAAAACACATGAGTTTTGCTTTTTAATTGGATATACTAATGCTTACCTTATTGCTCTCACTTTGTGCCACTTTTCATCTGATACTTTAAAAGTTTTATCGGTAATAATGGCGTCTCCGTGACCCAAATTAAAAGAAAATTCTACATGACCGCCCCTCACTCCGATGGCCAAGAAATCGGGTTGAAAGGACAAATTCTGACCTACCCAAAAGATTAGACCATCCGAAAAGTTGGTTTTGAAGCTAAATTCGATTTCTGACACGGAGTCGGTAAGTCTAGAATAAGGAAAAGAAAATTGGTATTAATTCACGCCCGTTTACTATAGCAAGTACAAATAAATACAATGAATGAACTCTATCGTCATTGAGTGAGAGCCAGCTGTTTCCTCTGAAGCTGATAGCATCCTCCTTACCACCAATGTCTGAAATGTAATATTTGATTAAGACGGAAGAAAGAGAAAAGAGAAAAATATCTCTTTATCCTTTTTAAAGAAATGCCTTACCTCTTCTCGTTCGGACTGGGGAAAAAGCAAGGAAAAAGAGAAAGAAAAGGTCATAATTAGTAGGAAATCGAATTTGATAAGAGCATTAAAAGACTTACTATCCTCGCAATGGGCGTTTCCAAAACCAAGCAAGCAAGAGCACCTAGGGAAAAATAAAAGGCGTATGTTGTTTATTTGTATATTTGTATACAGAGAATAGAAAATCTGATAGAAATTACTATAAACTGTATATTGAGATAAGAAAGAAAAAGTCATTTACTGGTAATTATTCATGTTTGGCACGCAGATTCCTCCATTTCGGCAGGGTCTTTCGTTGCAAATATGCTCACATTCGTGAATGTTAATACCGTAAAGTAATTTCTCTGTCAACTTTAATGGTTTACCATTGATAACAACCTGGTAGGGGAGGCATAGAAATTAAAATGGGCTGGATTTAGGTATTCAAAGGTTAAAGGTTATTGGGGTAAATTTTGAATATTATAATTAAAGAAGGAGAGAGAGCTAACTTTTTGTATGCATCCAACGAACGAGACATCAACGCCAGCGAGTGGAGAAACTTCGTAAAAGTCTCTATGGCCACCGATAAATAAATCTAGTTGTAGAGTTAGCATTGAATAATCTCCCTTAGAATACCCAATAGTTCTCAAATCATTATCCAATTCCATGGAACCTAATTTTAGCCGCCTATGTAATTTTACTCTGTGCCATTGGTCCATTTCGACGGGTGACCGACTCCTAAGAAAATATTTATTATCTTTAATTATCTGTAACTGTTCCCTTTCTGATTAATTACTTTTAAGAAGAGTAATACAATTGAATTAAGTTTATGTACTAGAAATCATTTAACTAAAAATCCACTATAAAATGGAATAGAATTTATAATATAAAAGAAGGAAAGAATGAAAAAGAAACCTAATAACTGCTGGACCGGTTCCTAAATCGAATCTGAACTCCAAATATCCCTTCAATAATGCCAAACTAATAAAATCACCACCGCTAGATGAATAACCATTGTATAAAATTAAGCCATTTCTCTTAGATGGCTTAAAAACAACTTCAATATCAGTTTCCCTGTAAATATCTTTGCCTAGGCCGAAAAATTGGAGATAAGAGTAACCAGTAAATTCTGGTACAGTTGACGTTTTTTCTAAAAATTTCAATGAAAAATATCAAATATATTGTTTATGTTGATAGGATAAGTGCTTACTAATTTCGCATCTGTCTCCAACTCTTCCATAAGGACACAGGCATATAGCTCTATCCGACGAAATGACTTTACATTTTCCGCCTTGTTCACAGTTGATTGACTTACAAAGATGAGATGTACAGGATCCTATATGATTTGTACATGAATAGAAAATCCTATTTGCATATCGTCATTAATTAAATAGCAGAAAAATTAGAGATGGTGCTAAAGAGACAGGACTAAAGGGATAAATTTCCATAAATTTTCACTCCAGTACACCCTTTATTCCCATTTGTATTACTTATATTATCGCTATATGTTGTCTAAAGTCATTTTATTTCTAGTTTTTTACTTTCCTTTCTATTTTGTCTACTTTTCTCTATTAATTTATCAATTTTTAGTGAAAGAATAAAATAAATAACAATAGAGAGAAGGAAAGAAAGAAAGAAGTATGAAGAGGTGAAGTTTGAGAGACAGGGGGAGAGAGTGGGTTAATATAAGACAGAGAGAAATGGAAAGAGAGAGAGAGAGAGAGAGAGAGATGAAAACAGAAAGAAAGAAAGGAGAAAAAAGGAAAGAAAATCTTTCGTGATACGCTACTAAAAAAATTCGTCCGTCGATTAAAAGACTTAGAGTCAAAAGCTTACGAGTTAAGACTGCAGGATTTAGGGCGTCTCCTTCACTTTTCTATTTTGGTGTTAATATATTGGAATTTTTTTCTAGTAAAGGCCGATTTAAATATATAATAAATCTCATGTCCCTCATTAATTCGTAACGAATGAAACAATAACTTCACAATGACCAATGTCACATGAGCTTTAAATTGTTTAATGTTTCGTCATAAAGGTGAATAAATTAATTGGCTGAAACATGAGATCAAAGAAAGAAAATAGGGAAAAGGAAAGATGAAAGTAGCATATTTTGTTTTATTAAATAAGAAAACGAAATTCTTTCTCTCTCTCTCTCTCTCTCTCTCCCTTTTTGTTTTCTTATTATTTATTGTGGTAGAAATTTGGTATGATGTCTAAATGGTAGGAAAATTAATCTTTTAAAGTTTCTGTCGCTTTAGGGCTTATATTTTCTTTTGCTTTTGCTTTCTCTCTTTCTTTCTCCTTCTCTTTTATCTCTTTTTTTTTCGTCCTCACTTTTTCTGGTCGTTTTATAGAACGTCTCTTTTTCGGACTTGTATTCTTACTTATAAAATAATAGATAGCGTTACTAACTCCTGATGGCTTTGTTCTATTAACAATATAGTTGAATGCACACGTTAACGCTTTTGTTAACAAACTGTCAACAAAGTTGACTAAGCTTCTCTACAGAGTAATTTAATTTAGGAAATTTAACTCATCCCCTCCTCTTCCTCCTCGTCCTCTTTTCCCTATTCTCATTGTATATCTTATTTATACCAACCGATATCAACTCCATTCAGAACGTCTCCAAACTGAGGAGGAGATCTAACTTGAAAAACTCTATGATTCAATTTCAACTTCCTTACGCAACCAATAAAACCAAATTTCATTCCAGTTCTTGAGCCAACTGCTGATAGATTCTTAAAACCTCCCAAATATAAATCTTGCTTGAACACGATTTGAGCCAGTCTCTGAAAAATTCAACGCAATCATTGTAAATAATGAAAGTACTATTCTTTATGGTGATATTTTTTCTTTTACATATATAACTATTACAATGCTGAATATAGAATTCTCAAAAATTGCAAAGTGGCGATGACGTCAATGGGTGACTAGTGACCCATAAACTCTTAGACGTAAGACCACTTCAAAATAGTTTATCATTTGTATTTGCAAAAGGAGTGAAAGTATTGAAAGATTCATGATTTCGAGACCAGAAGGGAATATAGAGCATTGGGTAAAATTGTAGGAAAGGGAATAGTTAACTGTCCTAAATAGGTGACACTATCATATCATACGTTATCAGATTTTTTACACAATGCTTTAGAATTGAGAAAAAATCAATCAGAAAAACGCGGTAAATTAATTCGATTCTACACACGGCTCTTTGCTGTAAAAACTGCCTTAATGTAGTTTGCTAGCCATTTGTATAATTCTCAATCTGTATGGGCTTTATACAAATTGAATTTATTGCACAGGCAAAATTTTGCTGCCAGACTTTCTCTACTTTTTTCTTCTTTAAAGTAAAAATAAAAGTGACTACTTACCGCCGATTCTCCGAAGGTAGCGTTTCCTCCATTTAAATATAAGGAACCAGTTCTGTAATACTTGCTAACAACAAGAGTATTCCATTCATTGATCCTCACTTCTTCATTCGATCGAATTTTTACAGTTCCAGATCCACAATCGAATCTAAACCAATTAACGTTTTATTATTTTCTTATTTATTCACAAATATGTAAATAGCCAAATCAACTTTTCAACTACTTATTTTTTCAACTATTTAAAGGCTTATTTCGTAATTTTCCCCTCTTACTACAAGCAATAAATCTGATGATTTTTTATTGAGTCCCTATAGATATGAAAATATTCATCTATATGCAAATGATGCGTCATTTGACATCTGTAAATGGATAGATAATAATTTATTGCATTATACACAGATAAAGAAATTCGTATTGTTTGTCATTTTTGAATATATAAATATAAAATATGTAAAATATGCACTTTAAATAAATTGATATAATTTTCTATATACATTTATATGTCTATATAAATATATATTCGATTGTAAACGTATAATGTCCCCGTAGCACTTTTTACTGCGTAGACATATCATATGTAGAGTATTTAACTATATTTCTATTCCCTTAGCATCTATTACCTGTATTCAACGTATCCACCAATTAGAGCTACTGAGAAAAAGTCGTATTTTCCATCCGGGAATTCGGCACTATATAACAATAGGCCATTGTTGGTTTCCGGTTTGAATTCGATCTCAAATGTAAAGTCCTTATAGGAATTCCTTAGGTATAATTTTGAGAAGGTCAAGTAGCCGGATCCAAAGAACCTCGGATAAGATATATCGATTTCTATAGATAAAAGAAATCAGAGGTAATATAGACAACATTATTCGGTTTGATTGTCTTAAGTCTCCTAACTAGATAATCTACCCAGACGCCATCTAACGTTCGTCACATCTGTCCTTGACACACTTCCCAAAGACAGGATAAAGAAAAGTAAGATCATAGGAATGACAGATACTTTAAGTAACTGAGCAGAAGAAGAGGGGGATTGAAAGGTGGTTGGACTATAAGGGTAAAAGGGTTAGAAGATATTTAAAAGGTTAAAAGTGTTGAGTGTAACGTGGGTGAATGGAAAGATGACTGGCTGATAGGATATATATAAAAGGAAAGAATAAAGAAGAGGAAAGATTTTTAGAGAAGAAAGAAAGAAAGAAGAGAAAGTATATGGTCAGTGGTCGATTAACGATTCAAAATTTTTCCGTATTTAAAATTCCTAAAACGCTCGATTATGTTTTATCGGATACTTCAACTTGATTAATGGGGTAATCCTGATAAATAATTAAAGTTTTTAACTTAACAAAATCGTTCATTGGCAAATGAACCTCTCTCTCCCTCTCTCTCTTTCTGTCTGTCTCCCAAAAAATTGACTTTTTTTTATAATAGTTTATATTAATATAGTTTTTACAGTAGTATAACTTTGTATAGATTTGTATATTGCATAATATAAAAAATTGGAATCGTTGCTTTTGTTAGAAAGTTGAATTTTTGTAATAGAAAAAAATGTCATTAACAAAGTTATAAGCGTCAATGTAAATTCAGTATTTACTTACATTAATGGAGTTATTTGTGGAAAGTCTGCCCCCGCCTATCGTAATATACTATAGATTGTTCTAAGTAACCAAATTATAGGGCTATAACGGGTTTTTTTTCGTATTTTTATTAAAAGATAAGAGAGAGGGTAGATTAAGGTTGAGAGGTTCTCGGTAGAAAGTAGAAGTATGCGAATTGTCATGCTCCTTACACATGTGCAAATAGTATTAGTATATGTATATACTATATATATACAGTATATACAATACCGTTCATATAGAATATAGCATATTGTATATATTTTTAAGATATCGATGAGTTTGGGTAAAGAAGTGGAAAGAAAAAAACATGTTGTTATACATTTCAAAACCAAAGTGAAAACAATAAAGTGCTGTTTATTTTTAATTGATTTCGCCTTTTTCGACTACAGATTCATTATTTTAGAGAATAAATAATGCACGTGACTAATGAAGCGACCGTCCGGATAGGAGCGGTACTGCAAACAAATAGATCGCATCCTATTCGATATTTGAAAAGAAGCTGATGAATGTTTGATAGGCGGTTGTCAATCGTCTTTATGTAAACTCGTATAATGGTTCCCGGCTTTATCCCTTTGCTGATTGTTTGCTACACGTTAAGCTTATTTCCACGGCTAATCGACTTTCTTAATTTACAAATTCATAATGCACTAAATATCTTATTGTAAACTGTTTTTTTCTCTTGAATTTTGGTGTTTTTTCCCTTTCCACTAAAGCAACAGACGACAAGAAAGAGAGGATATATCTATCTTCCTCCTACATTTCTTATAACATCAATTCCCTTCTTTTTTGTCTTGCCACTTTTCTTTCTATCGAATTACCTTTTTCCTACCATTTTAATAACTTACCAATCGATAACGCTTATTAGCGTGTACACGAGCAATTGTGGCGGTTAATACTGTATGAGCGTCACTCTACTACATTCAAACTGCTATATAAAATATTCTAAAGCATAGTAAGCGTGTGAGTTTTTGTGTTTATAAACAGCCGGTAGACTAACTAGGATATTAGATAAAGAAGAAATGTTACTTACTCTCTTCACATCTTCTACCCCAATAGCCAAATTTACAAGCACATTTTACACCATTCACCATCTCGTCTTCAATGCATTCTCCGTGTAATGAACATTCGATTTCGATACATTTCTTGTAAATCTTTGAAATATCTTCTGTCGGAATCAGCTTAGAGTCTTGATCGGCTATTGGCTTTTCTTTCAGGGTTTTTCTTCTTCTGGACGACTTTTTCTTACCTTTTTTACCCTTTTTCTTTTTGCTTTTCTTCTTCCTACCCTTTCTATTCTTTCGTCTGTTGTATTTCCGTTTCGAGTCGCGCATCTTTTTCGTAAGGAAGTCGGAGGATGAGAACTTATGGCTGCGCTTCGAAAGTGAGTTGGAAGGTTTGGAAGAGAATTGATAAGGATCGAGAACACCAAAATCATATTCGTCGTCACTTATTGATTCGGTTGTTGGTTCCACTCGATTGATTGGTGTTGAAACTGTATTTAAGAGAATGATAGTGAAAATGAAAATCTTTGTAGACAGATTTTAGAAAAAAGGCAAAGTGACGAGGAAACTTTATGACAGTTTACTTTATTTCAATACTTAATCTATAAATAGAAACGAACATGTCTATTAAACAAAGGCGAGAAATTAGACCGATTAGAACAATCGTTCTTCGTGCTTTGCTCTATTAAGATCATGCTTATTAGTATATTTATGCATTTTTACATTTTACAGATCATTTTGCACTTTTCAATTAATTCAAAGTGTAGTAGAATTTAAAAAAAAAACTGTTTAAAGTGGACTAAATACGTGGTTAAGAGAGAGAGAGAGAGAGAGAGAGAAAGAAAAAGAAAGAATAAGAGAAAGAGACAGGAGCAGAGAGACAGACACAGATAGATAGATAGATAGAAAGTGAGCGAGTGAGATTTTAGATTTTCAGTAAGAATAAAATCAAAAAAGAAAACAATCTAAAAGGAAGATAACGAAAAACTTATTTTTTCCTTTTTCACTGTTTATAACCTATAGGGTAATTGACTAGCAATAAATCTTTACAGTCCCTCAACTACCATTAACTATAAAACTTAAAATGATTTTAGAAAAAAAGCGTCTCATCAAAGTGTCTTAGCCTGCATTAGGAAGAAAAGCGGTGTGCACTTTATAGAATTTCTAGCTAAATATAATCTTATTGAATATTAACTCAAGAATGATACTTGGATAGGGACTTCAGTCCGCTTTGAGTCTCTATCTGATTAAATTTCCCAACCTAGATTAACCAAGACAGAAGAGGAGACAAAAGAAAAGAAGGAAAAAAATTGTCTTCTTTATACATTAGCCCAATAAAGAATTAGCAATCAATGCTAGACATAATAAGTTATTGTAATAAAAGGAGACGAGCAAGTGGACTCATGTAAAATGGAAAAAAAATACAGTTTGTCAACTGATCGATGTGAATGTGTATAGAGAATAATAAATTATATATGACATTATTTTTTTTAGAACTATTCGTTTTTCTTTTTTATGTCCAGATTTTTGCAGACAACCGTGTAAAAAATGGAAGATAATACTTGCGCGAAATAAGCAACGTATTGTTTATAAATAAACAAAACGTAGATATGTATATAAGATATATTAATAAAGACAGTAAATAAATATATATATATACAAATATATACAGTATATACAGTGTATGTAAAATAAAAGAAATTTATGAAAAAATGTGCCTTTGCCACTCAATTTAAGGTAATGAAAAACTGTTCAAACAATTCTATTAGTGATCATTTCAGGTGTGAAACATAAATGAAGATTGATAGTAAAGGTTTAATCTTTTGTTTTTTTTTAAAACTTTTAGCACTTGAACACACTGCAAATTTCTCTACCTGGTAAATTAGTTTGAACAATATCGAGTATTAAACTGTCGTTTGATGGTGATTTCGATGTCGTTTCGATCGGTTTAGAAAATACTGCAAAAGCTAGCTATTTTAATTAATGTTCTTTTTAAAGTGTACATATATATACATTATACTGTATATACTGTATAAAAGCATATACAGTATATACACTTATATATATATATATATATATGCAGTATATTGTATGTATTTCAATATCTATAATTGATATTTGTTGTTTTTGTTTGTTTTAGTTTTACCTGTTTCATTTATAGGTAAAATTGATGTTGACGAAACGTTTCCACTGGAATTTCCTAAGAATTTGCAACCAAAAAAATAAGATGATATATTCAAAGTCTATATATACAATATCTATAAATATTGTAAGGGCATTTAATGTCAATATAGAGATAATTCTTAAGTTAAAACTGTAATTTTTTACCCGGGTGCCTTCCAATGATGCTACATTGATTTATTGATTATGTAATTTTTTTTCTTCCTAATCTTCCCAAACTGTCGGGTTATTTTATTATGCGTTTAATTTCCAATAAATGTTTTATCAATTAAATCTAGATTAAATTTCAAAGCATTTGGTCTTGTTCTCAGGATTGAGTAAGTAATCAAACATATTCAAATAGGATTACCAATAAAAAGAGTTGTGTTTGGTGAAACTAAAACCTCTCTTATATATATAAAGGATTATCGAATTAATCTATTAAACTCTGAAGGATTGATAGTTTTTACATTGTCGAAAAGAGAATATTAAGATTGAAAAAAAAACAAACAACCCCTGAAATCTCCAAAGAGTCCTGGGGAGGGGGCGAAAAAACTTGATAAAAATCTTACAGAGTTTACGGAGAGGAAAGACTGCAAATGTTTGCAGTCGAAACATCGCTCATCGTCTTCATTTCCTCTCCGTCTTTTCGAGGTTTTCTTTTCTAAAATTGATTTGATAAATGGTCTATGACGTTTTTTGGCGTGTGAAAACGATGGAATTCCGTGACACGAAAGAATTATTTTTAATTTTTATTTGTTTTTTATTTCATTTTTTCCTTATTTTCTCACTTTTTTTTATATATTTCGATTTTTTTAAGCGGGAGAGAAATAGGCTAAATTGATGAGGGAATAAATTGGGTAGTTTTATCGAATCTTTGAGAATTGCTTCTATGACCATCGTGGGAATAGACTTTGAAAATGGCTCACATTTTTTTTAGGACAAAACCTCGAAAAATATCGATTTTATTTGCATTTTTTTTTTTAAATAAATTATTCCCTAGCCTTGTACTATATATATATATTAGGCTTAGTTGGGCATTGATTGACCCTCAATAAATCCATTAGCAATTGGTTGGTGGATTGTTCAAGTAGCGCTTGAATCTCGCTCTGTTACAAGAACAGTTAGGAGAAGAGAGTCAAGGTTTATCTACTTATTGAATAGCAATTGACTGTATATTTATATTAAGGAGTGATAAATCTTCTTTCGTTTAAGGGGTTTCTTATAAAAAATAAAGAGAGAGAAAAAATGATGTAGGCATAGGAGTCTACGATGTTACTTGTCATATTCTTTATGTATAAATATATACAGTATAATGCAAAAGATTGCACATCATATTAAAGATCTAATGGCAAAAGTCATATTACGCTTATATTTGTATCTCTCTATCTGCCTCAATCTCACTAACTTACATACAGACAAATATGTTCATGTGAATATGTGCACGCATGCTTTCTTTCTCTCTCTCTCTCTCTCTCTCTCTCTCTCTCTCTCTCTCTCTCTCTCTTACTCTATTTCTTTATCTTGTTCTTATTCGCTAATTATTTTCACTATAGATTAAAAATCGTTTTATAATGAATAGAGTACATTCTATGGCTTATAAAATATAAGACTGTACTGAAGTTTATATTCTATTTATGTCTTTTTTCTAACAATTTCTAAGGGTTCATTCGTTGCATTCTTATATTGTGTTTTAATTTCAAAAGTCAAATACCAACCTTTACAGTCGATTCCATTTTCAATTAATTCATAATTATCGAAACATTGACACTCGTAAAAGTTATCTCCAACATCGTTACACTCCTGTTCGCATATATTCCCAGCATTGCAGTCGCCTGTATAAAAAAGAAAAAGAAGAGTGCACAATCTATAAGTATAGATATACTGTAGTAGACAAATTTCGTTATTTACTTTTTGTAGTATTGCAGTGTATAGCCATAAAAAAACAATTGTTACAAATAAAAAAGAGTATATATTTTATAGAGATAATATAATTAATCCTACTAGAAAATTACGGATACGAAGTAAAAGGAAAAATTGTCACGAACTTGACTGGATAGAAATTAGATTCTGTTATATTATTCATTTCCTAGCTTATCGACCTACTCGAAACTGATCGATAACTGACTATTGAATTGATTCTGGCAAATTGAGCAGAGATGTGTCTGGTATAAGACCTACGTAATTGATTGCTTTCAAAGAGGTAAAAGGGTAAAAAGCTTACGATGTATTACGAGAGTTTGTGTATATTTTAGTAATAATCTTTTTTTGAAGAGAAGGAGGAAGAGAGAGAGAGAGAAAGAGCAAATAAATAATCTCATGGAATAGCGTATAAACTGCTTATCAGATATTTGTTAAATTACAAAAAATAACATTTAATAAAAAATGTTTCTCATCACAGATAACATTGAAAAAGGGAATAACGTGATTTATAAGAAATGTGACAGATAAATAGAATTATTCTCTTTTTCTCTCTCTTCCTCCTACTCTCTCTTTCGTGCGCTTTTCTACTTTTTCAACTGTCTAGTAATTGAAATTGATCAATTCTCTTAAATGGCGAATCTTTCAACCATTTTTTTCATTTATTATAAAACGAACAGTAAAACTCAAATTACTTTTAAAGAGACATTAATTTGTTAAAATGTATTTAAAAATACATAAAAACGTGAAAATCGTATTAAATTAATATTGATAACTGTTGCATACTATTCGATAAACGTGTTAATTTGTATTTTCACATCATTAGGCCTATATCTTTCTTTTTTTTTAACTAAAGTAATTAACGACAACTGCCTTGTCTATTTCAACGCAAAATCAAATATAATTGGTTAGATAGAACTAAGCTATTCAATATAGTTAATTGCATTACAAGTACCTTTATCTTTGACGAATTGACAACTTGAAGATAATTAAGGAAAAGTTTTTATTGGGTTGATTTATGATTCTTTTTCCTCTTCTCTTCGATCAATCTATCTATATGTTTTTTCCACTTCCATCTCAAATACATACATAGATACGTACATACATAATATACATGCGTATACTTTATGACTATCCATTAAAATAACGTTCTTTTTCTCTATCTCTTCTTAAATATGCATAGAGAAGTATTGGTTGACAAAATCATTAGTCTCGCTCAAATAGTCGAGATTATTAATAAGTTATGTCCACGATATAGAGGAGATTTGAGAGGGAAAGAAAAAGGGAGAGGGCGAGAGAGGAAGGGGAAGAGAGGAAGGAAGAAAGAAACAATGAATACGGGTAGTAAAGATAATTAAGTGCGATCAAGTAATAAAAACTTTATGTTTTTTTTAAAAAATAGAAAATATAATGAAACTAGGGTTTACTTACCCGGAAACTGTCTGTTTGCTGAAGACAAAAAACAGGCAACGAAGACGATGAGGATAAATAAAAGTTTATTTGCCTTCATTCTTTTCTAAATCTGAGGGAAGAATATCCGGCAGTGTCGTATTGCATGCTGCGACGCAGCTATGTGACGAGTTTATTCAGCAAACGCTTCATGATTTCGACTCTCCTCTTTAACCGTTTTCAAAGCGACATCTAATGGTTTGCTAACATCGCCCTCTAGAGGGATATTCTATAGCCCGCTTTTACATTTCAATAAACCACTTCAAACATAAATTAATATTCGGTTACGTTTGAAAAATGAAAACTTATATAAACTCCCAAGATAAATTTTCCTTTTTAATTCAATCCATATTTGCTAAGAAGAACGCTTTTTCTTTCCTACTCTTACTGTACTGAATGCTAGAACCTACCCAGCCGAGTATACAGTATAACTTCAACATCCATTCAAGCAGGGAGAATGTTTCCTTATCTTTCTATTTATCTCCTTAAAACAAAGAGAACACAAGTGAAATGAGAATAGATTGTAATGAAGAAAAGATATCGATAAACAGTCATTATTTTTATAATAATTATAACTATTATTATAAATATTCCAGTTTCTATCGAGCTTAATATTGTTCTTTGAAAGACTAGTGAAAAAGTAATAGAGAAAACAGAGTGAGTTAGATGAAGAAGAAGAAGAAGAAGAAGAAGAGAGAAAGAGAGACAGAGACGGAGATAGAAAAGCGAAATAAATCGATTTACTCTTATAAAATACATCGTTAAAATCTTTTACCGATTTGTATTGGTAATAAATTTCTTTCAGTCAATGTTTTCTTAAACACGTTACGCTTTCAACTCATCATCCCTTTATTATATTTAATGTTATACTAAAGAAATAAAGAATTGTGACTTGTTGTATGAAAATGTTAATTGCTATCATTTCCTTTTCTTAAACGTCACTTCTGCTTTCTTTAAAAAAGGAATTTTCCCTCGCAATTGTTAATACTTGTGCTATTAGAAAATCCAATTTTATTAGACGTCGCCGATTTCCGCTGAAAAATTGATATTTAATATTATATTTATAGTTTTTTATATTAAACAGTACCCTCTTACTTCTCTTTTATAACCATATGAATAATTTCTTTCTCTTTTTAGACGCTCTAGACGCTCCAATTAACAAGTTCATTTTTTTTATTCGTTTTCTCATCTTTTCTGGCGGCGGAACTATCAAAGACTACTGCCATCTTGCGGAGTTTATATCGTAACTCTTCCAGCTCGTAAAATTATTTTTCATTGTAATAATGGAAAAGGGGAAATGGCAGAACGTTAGACTATACAGTATATAAATATATCAATGTTTCGCTATTGTTTAGATCTATTGCTCAGTTTGATACATTTTGCCAATCTCCTAACGTTTCTTTGACAAACTGATCATATAGTACGCGCTTCAGAATATCTTTTGGCTTCAAATTGAAAGTCTTCTTTGCCTATACCATTGCTTTCTCTTCCTCTTTCACCTTTACATTCGTTTTGTTTTCGTTGTTTTTATTACGCTGTATTGGAGTAATATATCATATCCTTAAGTGCTATTTGCGTAATAATAAGCAGTTACGAGTAAACACAAGAAGAATTATTGAACGTATTCAATAGTTACGGTTAAAACTGAAAGAAGTTCCTTAATATTCTCTTGGAAGTTTCTTTAATATTATCATTGTTTTTATTGAATTAATGAAATATCTATAGATTTTTCCGCAATTGTTAGACAACATTTGATTGAAAAACGAAATAATCTATACATTTGCTTCAACATATCTATTGTATCAGTAATTTCTCTTTATGATTGATTTTAATTAAATTCCTTATTCTACTCTTGGGAATAGATTTTCTCTAATTTATAAATGTTTATCTAAAAATCTGAATGAATAAGTTAATGAAATATAAATAGGAAGTAAGTTTTTCTCATGTTTTTCTCTCCTTTCCAATGTATTTCAATGTTAATTGGATAGAAATAGAGTCGAATAACTTATCTTAAAAGAAGTTAACTATCACAGGTAAAAGTACTTTCGACTTCTCTGGCCTTAGTTTCAACAGATTCAATATTTTAGCTAAAATATCCTAGTCTTTTTAAACAAGTCCTACAAACCGGTAATAAACTCTTAAAGAGTATTTATCTTTATCTTGTCCTTGATTTGGACTGATTGGTTGTTTTCTAACACATATAAAAAAACTCTACATGGGACTTCCTTCTTCCCCCTTTTTCTGAGAATCGTTCGAGAGGCGAGTAAACAATTTATCCTTTTCCTACAATCCCCTAGATGGCGCAAAATATATATACTAAACATTTATATACAGTATATACTGTATATATACATTGATGGTAAAATATTTGCTAAGTGACAGTTATAATGTATAGTCTACCAATGAAAAACTAAGATTCAATGATAATTATACAGCTCAATTGCATGATACAAAAATCCGTCTATACTAAAAAACGGAAACAGGTTGTCTGAGTTTGATTGGTGCGGTCTTTAACCCTGACTAAAAGAGAGGAGGTCTAAAAGGTTCCAACTTGTTAAAAGTTATAGAAAAGGGAACTTTTACTATAGAAAAACTATTGAAAGATTAAAAGAATACTGCACAAATAAATCTTAAAGTTTGTTTTTTTAAAGAAACAAAAAGGAAATAAAAGAAAACACTATCGTAGTGTTGACTATGTTATTATTGAATTTTGACTATACACTTTATCATTAATTTCCAAGTTGTCTCCGACAAGTTAGAGGTATTTGAACTTTCTTCCAAGCTTACGTCATCGTGCGTTCATTTCAATTCATCATACAGTCGTACCCGATTGAATTTCAACTTTGTAATTTTCACTATTTGCTAATGGCGGAAGTTCTTTAGCAATTCCCGGATGAGGTTTCGTATCCGTTTTATCCTCGAAATATACGTTATGTTCTTTAAAGTCCTTTTTCCTTTTTTAATACTAAATAATCTCTATGTTGGTCATTTATGTTTCCACAATTGTCTTTTATTAGTTTATTCAATTTATAAGCATTTTCCTTTCGTGCTTTATTGTTAAATTAACGATAAAATGGAAAGATTAGTCATTATCTACATTATATCTAAACCAATGTTATATTTATATGTTTTTTCCTACAATTTTTTCCCTTCCCCAAACACTCATTCTATCATAAAAAACATCACAAATTCAATTGCCTACGTTGTCTCTTCCACAGAAACCATTCTTTGCATCTTCTGCAGCAGAAACCCGTTAAGATTCTACCAGCTCTTTTGTAACAAATTTAAAGTTTGATAAGAAAATTACGAACACGGAGCATCTTCTCCCATTCGACTTTGTTTTTTTGTTTATTTTCTTCTCTTCTCTACCTTATTCTACTCTCTTTTTCTCTAATATAATATTTTATTCCACTTTTTCATTTTACTATATTTCTCTTTCTCTCTTTTCCGTCCTTGTCTTTTCCAATCTCCTCCTTTTTCACCTTCCCCCTTCTCATCTTTCTAATTATGTTAGACTTGCGAATATAATTATTGGGCGCATTGCCAATTGAATAGTTATGAAAAGTTGATAAGATTTTAAATTGCATAATTCCCTAAACGGATTATGAAAGAATAGAATATTTAGGCATAGTCTACTAATGACTTTTGATCTGACGTCAATAGAGACAGATCATGAGAGATGAAAATGAGAGAATTTACGTCTATTACGTAATCTACGTAGAGATTATCCCTCATCACCTTTTAACCCTAGACTAGTGGAGTGAGCATATCTAACACGAATATATAAAAAAATAGACGATTGCTAGGAGATAAGTATTTATTTATCCTTTGGCTTTTATAGCAATGTTAAAAATCTAAAGAGGAAAACCGAGAGAACGAAAAGAATAGGAGATTTATTAAACGAAGCTTTAGTGGTCAGCTTGATCGCCTCTTTCCCAGTCTTAATTTTTGTTCATTAAAATTCTTTCCTTCTCTTCCTCTCTCTCTCCTTTTTCCCTTTTTCAGCTTTCCCTCGCTATTTCAATTATTCCTTTTGTATACCAATTGTCAATTTTACTTTTGTTTCTTACTAAAAGTGATTTCACTTAAAGAAACAGGAAAAAAAGATTCTAATTAACTAACCGTTAAAGAAATAATGATAATATTATTCAAAGATTTGCTTTGAATAAAAAATGAGTGGTTGATTAGCAGAGAATATGAAGTAGCATAGATTATATCGATGGAAACATTAGATAAACCTAAGAAGAGTTTTAGAGAAAGGAAAAGTGATAAAAATTCAACTCTGTAACGAAAATGATTACAATGGAGATGATGATGATGATGATTATAAAATGGCGAATTTCGTTCTTGTTTGATATACTGGAGCACGTTTCTCTTTCCTTTCAATGAACCTCCAGCACGTAGCCTCTTCTTCCTTTACAATCTTTTCATCGTGTTCGCTTTTCTTACGATGGGAGTGAATCGAAGCAGAATAAATAGGACGCTTTTATCTAACAACGACATAAACCTTATACTTTTCCTTAAATTGGATGCATCCGACTATTTTTATAGAATTTATTTGACGATCCAAGCAAAAAAGGAAAAAAAACCAAAAACCTAGTTAAATATAGTTTTACCGTTTAAAACGTTAATCCAGGATTCATAGAATTATTACGCAATTCTTTACTTAACTAACAATATACAATATAGAAATATATCAAAATTGTATATCATGTCGTATATTTAGCTGCCGAAGCTAAGATTTGGTCTGCATCATCACACTTGGAATTTTATTTAAAATTGGGTAATGGAATCGTTTATACGGATATATATATATATATATACAGTTTATATATATATACATATATATATATACTGTACATAGTATATATGTACTTAGGCTATTGTTCAATACATGCTCGCTACATGCATATTTGAAAATTGGATTACATAACAGTAATAAATAATAATTTTTAATTGATGAAGGCTTCGTACAGTTTCTAACATTCAAGTCTCCTTTGTTTTTCATCTGTTGTCTGATAGTTTTTGTTTGTTCTTGAATTTGTATACAAACAAATAAATAAAGAGCAAAGGAAAGATAAATTCATGAATTGTTTAAAAAAATGGAGAAGAAGAAGAAGAAGAAGAAGAAGAAAGAGAAGAAGAGAATTAAAACAAAAAGTATATATATAGAAAAAGCATAGATTGAAAATTGAATAGGGATAAAAAAAATTGTCTCTAAATTGAATTTTATTTACTTGTTTCTTTGTTGTTTTGTTTTTGTTGTTTGGTTGTTGTTCTTTATTTTATATTGTGCTATTTGAATAATAAGTAAATCTTGTGAAAATATACTTTTCTTTCTTTTTCTTCTCATTTTTTATAGTTTTTTTTTTTAAAGAAAAAAAAAACAAACTGTTTGAAGCGAAAAAAATTAGAACTGATTGTTCATTTTTTTTACATTTGAAAGTAAATATTCTCTTTACAACATCAACATACAGTTATATTCCTTATTTGGTACTCCTTCCGATTCTGACAAAACTGCTCATTGGTCTCTTACCAATTCTGACGAATGAGCTCATTCTCTTTTCTTTTTCGTCGTCAAGATTTACGTTCTTTCCAATTCTAACAAAACTGCTCATTCTCTTTGCTTTCTCATTCAATCCATCATCTATTCCTACAAAATTATTCATTTCCTTTACCGGTTGGCTCTTTCCAATTCGTACGAAAGAGCTTAGTCTTTTTTCAGGATTTCTGCCAATTCTTACGAAGGAGCTTAAAGCTCGGCCAATCCTAACAAAAGAAGATAGAGCTCGTTTACGTTCGTTCAAATCTTCGGATTGAAGATGTTTTAAGATTTCAGTTTCTTTCAAATCGCATTCCTTAATACAAGCTGCAGCTTCGGCCGTGGGAAAATTTGCCTCGCATATATCGGAGCATAAGGTTTCACAATTAGTGTGCGTGGAAGCCAACAGGACAAGGAGGATTGATAATGTGAATTTAAGCATTCCTGTAGTGAAGTAAGCATTTATAAATTACATACTATTACCCTCTCTATTATGTTAATGTCATTAAAGAAATACATATATATATGCAGTATATATACAATATGTATATCTACAATTTATCTAAGATAGACCGTATTGGTATATATAACTTGAATGCTATATATAGATAAAAATGTTATTAATGCATGAACTCTAATATCATATGTATATATACTATACACTTATGATTAATTTAGGTCTATTATAATTTTGTCCTTATGCTAGGGAGAGAGTGTGAGCGAGAGGGGCAAGGAGACAGAAAAGAAAGGAAATGAATATCAAGTCAGTTAGATAAGTAAATAGATAGATAGATTGTTAAAGACAAAAAGAAAAAAAACATGAAAAAGCTAGTTAATTTTCTAAATCTGTAACGGTTCAGCGATATTTCCTTTTTCCCTCTGTCCGTCTCTCTTTTCATTCCTTTCTGCTGGATTAAAACAAGTAAAAATACTCGACTATCTTTTTTCTCAGGCAATAGAAAATCTGGAGAAGGAAGGCCTACTCATAACGAGGGTTTGTAAATGATAGAGTGTTTTTACGAATTCATTAGTAATCTTATACAATATTTGTAAGAAATACTTCCCAAAGAATTTATTTGTTAACGTCTATATTTCCTTAATATTCTAAAATAAATAATTTTAAATAATTGAATAAAAAGAAATTAAAGAAGACAAAGGTAACAAATAATAAAGAGGAAATAGAAAAATATTAATTTCGTTAGGTGAGCTTTAGGAAAAATGAGTAGATGCTAATATTGACAAACAGAACATGTATTGTAGAAAAGTTTGGCTATTGGAAATCCTTAAATCTAACATTTATACCATTTAAACCTATTGAAAAAAAGCTAAAATCTTAGTCCATTTTGGTCTGTCACTTTGGATAAAACCCGTCGCCTCATCCACCCCAATTAACCTTGTAATAAGTTAAGAGATGTTTGTGGGAAGGGGGAGGAAAGGGGGAGTGGATATTTGCAAACAATTGAGATATTATATATCTTTTCCCTAAGTATATACATAAAGAAAACGGAATATAAATGGGCAAAATACAAGAAAACTCCTCGATGTGGCACGTAATCGGGTCAATCAGAAATTTTTACTAAAACCAAAAGGGTCAAGAAAGCAAACTAGCAGCCTAATTTCTTCCAAATATATTCAGATAAAGCTCTTTTTCAATACTGTCTTCAATTCGTACAGCAGAAACCTTTTAAGTTAGCCTTTTCCATGATTGGAGAAAGTCAATTTATTTGTTTCTGTTTCTCTGTATAAGGTATGTTAAACAAAAAAAAGAGAGAGCATACTTCCATCCTTGAAATGAAATTTACGTTTAATCAAAACACTTCGGCTAACATAATTAATCGATTAAATTAAAAAATTATCATTGTACTCTTTTCATTCTAATAATTTACACTATTTAAGAAATGCAAAAAGGATTGAGTTTTTTGTGTTTGTCGTCTTAATCTTGTGGCAATGAGCTTATTCTTAGGCCTGACTTTGACAAACTATCAAACAAACTATGAAATGCTTGCTGTTATCTAATGTCAATAGCTCTCGTTGAATGTTGTATAGGTTATAACGAAAAATAAATTTACGATATGAGGCTATCGTTCTCTTATTGTTTTCTTTTTCTTAAAATGTAACTGACTCATTGTGTCTTTACACTTTCCTGAAAAGCATAGATATCACCTCTCGCATAATCCCTGCCTATTGTAACAAAAATCTTATTCATATTTCTCTAATCAACACCAGGTGTTTAATCAAAGTCAAAATTCTATACAAAATTCATTGTAAAACAGCAATAAAGTATGGAAAAATATCCATTCTTACCTTCCCAAGGGATTAAATAGTAAATTAATCCAACTTTAATATTTATTTTTAATATTTCCAATTAATTCCTTTCTTTCTTTTTAGTTAACTAAACGACAACAGATTAAAAGAGTGACGAAAAAGACTTCTTTACTCTTTTTTTTTTCAATAGAAAGCCAATTTTAATCCTTTGATTGTTTAATAAAAATTGCCTTAATTTCTCATTACTTGTTTACCTGATTGAGCGGGAATATTTGTTATTATTTCCTGTTACTTCTCATTTTAACACTCTCTCTTTCCATCTCTCTCCCTCTCTCTCTCTCTCTCTCTTTCCCCTTCCCCCGCTCTCTGTTCCCACTAAACGTTCCAGCACAATGAGCTTTAACTTTCCTCGAAAAAAAGGCCTTCGAACCGTGTCTTCTTTAACTAAACTCATGTTATCTAATAGCCCTGAACAAGATTTTTAATAATAATTTTACTAATGGTAAATATTTCAGACTGGGCAGGGGAAAGAAAAAAAATATACAGCTATAGTTAAAGGTTCGCTTAGGTTAATTATTTAATATCAGCCTCCTTTTTCTGTCTATTTGCTTAGCAATAAATATGAGACAAGTTACATGAATGCGAGGAAGAAAATAAAAATGACGACAAGACTAAGGTAGGGAAGAAGGAGTGGAATAGAGAGAGGGAGAGAGAGAGAGAGAGAGAGAATGCTAAATGTTACAGATATTGCAGAAGAAAAAGTAAAAAAGATGTTTTATATATTACAGTATATCCGTTAGTAATAGATATCGATTTGGTAACAATCGTAATAGAAAAATATAGAAAGTAAAAGAAAAATTATCCTTTCTTTTGGAGACGGTTAAATAAAATTAGTCTTAAATGATATTTAAAGTGCTATACGTTGTACTGTATATAGAAGGAAAAAACAAATTAATCATTACTAACCTGCGGCCAAGTCTAAGAGAACAAACTCACGTCCAAGGCGAATATGGCAATGCCGAAGTAAGAAGCGTCGCGCTTATATATGCCGATGGCGTCAGCACATTTGCTAAGCGATAAGGGAGCGATAGCTGTGGAAATCTATTTAAATACTAATTACAGTGTATTTACACTATCAATTTAATTTTCTATTCGGTCTTGTTTGTCAATGGTTTAATTTTCACTTTGCTCTTTTATTAACTAATCCACTATATAGAAATTAATATGTTTACCGAAATATTTTTTTTTCCCACCCCCTTAATTTTTCTTTTGCCTTTTCTTTCATTTTTTCTTCCTTCTTTCTTACCATCTTTGCCGCCCTCACCATTCTCTCTTTCTTCTTTTTCTTTTCTTAATGTTGTAAAGTTAAAGCTTTAATATTATTTGGGAATGTTCGATTTTTTTTCTCTATTAAATGACAAGTATCAGTCCTAGTGTATAAATTATGCTTTTTACCGCAAGATTAACTAATAAGCTCTATTCTGTACCCCTATTCATTATACGAAAGTCGAACGTGCTTTTCTGACAGAACCTTGAACAAGAGTTATGGTTTGAGAGTTAAAAGGAGAGACAAATGAACAAATGCCAATCTTGTTCATTGAGAAAAGAAACGGGCCGTATAGGAAGAGGGAGGGAGTAGACATATTTCCAGTTTGCATATGCCTCAAATCAATAATGAATTGTGAATATTGAAATAGAAACACTTTAGATAACAAGTTTGTGTGCACAACTAATCAACAAAACCTTAATAAAGTTCATTAAGTTCGTCCTAAGCGACACACGAGCCTCACTTAACCAGAATAGGAAATTAATGTTTGTTATGTCATCGCAACCACTTCTGTAGTCGATTATCGACTTAATAAAAATTCCACGTATTAATATAATCTTGAAGAATATAGTTTTCTTTCTAAATATTCATAGCCGTAATAGATTTGGTAGGATAGATAGAAGAGAAACCGGAAATTGAGACATTCACATGGAAAATAAGATCTAAATTGTTACCCAAGGGATATCCTATACTATGTAAAAATAAGCTTTACGTAATACCTTAGTGTTTAACTTTATTCGCTAAACATGTTTAGACTAATTGATAAATCAGACGTTAAGCCCATAACTTACGCACACATATACACATGTATAAATCCGACCATATACCATATACACATACAGACATGTATATATTTATATGCTATAGTATATATGCTATATATATATAAAGTATATATTTATATACACCTTCCTATCTACTTTTACTGTGTTTAATATGATTGAACATGTATTATAATTTATGTTCTCTTCTTGTTAAACAAGCTTTTTAATTGGATGTTGAAAATTGTACAGTAAATATTTAACCGTCTATTTTTAAGTTGTTTCCTCTATTCATCATAGAGATATAACTGTCCAGCCGACAGTAAAGATGAAAATAAGTTTTCTTTCAAGAAAAGGGGATCAGCATTTTTTCAATTACGAGCCGTTATCTTTTCTTCCTTCTCGAATAATACTTATGATTTCGTTCTGAATCATTTCCATCTCCCTCCTCTTTTTCTACCGCCCGCCTCTACTCCCAAACTGCTTCGCTTAACTTTCACAATCATTTGACAAAAGATATGAATTGCTTTCAAATCAGATTTGTATAAACAACTTAACTGAAGATTATTCATTCGAAAAGTCGAGAATTTTACTTTTGACGCTTTTTCTATAGATTTGCATAATATAATTTTGTGTTTTCCTCCACAATCCTAGTTTAAGGAAAGGATTAGCTAATCTAAAGAGAGAAAAATGATTTTCCTTGGATAATATTTTTTATTTGACCGAGAGGAACAAAAATTCACTCCGTTCACTCAGTTCTTTCAAAGATAAATCTTGTTTACATCTATTTTGCTACCCAATTTTCCCTTGGTAACCTCCTTGTTTTAGGGTGAATTAAAGTGATGATAATTGACAGATTGATTATTATTTTCGCTTGAAAGGTCAAAGAAGAGTGTAAGTTTAATATTAAAAATCCATGATATTAACAGTTGAAAGATGTCTTTTTTACGAAATTTCCCTATTGAATTAATTGGCAAAATTCTAATGTCCAATTTTATTCAGTACTCCATTAATAAACAAATTCCTATAGAAAATTTATTGTATATTAAACTATATCATTTGCCTAAAGTATTGTAAATTCAATAATTACTCTATTTTAGCAGTAAAGTCCATTAACTATGATAATTTAAGATCGTTTAACTATTTGGTGCCTCGATAAATATTCTGAAATTTAATCATTCCTTAGCGAGATTGCTTTTGTCCCAGATTGCTTTAAAATTGATAGAATATGTTTAAAAAGACGCTATAAGTCTACACTTTAAGGCTATAATTTTCTTTACAGCCATAATAGCAATCTTTTCGATACGGTTGAAGTATCAAAACAACAAACACAGTGTTTCATTCTTACGTACAACAGCCCCTCCCCCTTCTTTTTTTTTCTTTCACTTGCTTCCTTTTTCCTTCCCACCCCCTGTTTTTTCTCTCCGTCTCCCTGCTTGCACCATTTTCTCGCCCACTTTTTTGAATTTTATTGCCAATAAAAAGAAAAGGGTAACGTTGACGAATTTTCCATATAAAACAAAAAAAGGATGTATACTTCATATAATAAACATGCAAAAAGAAAGATGAATTACAAATAACAATTCTGTTTGTTATAGTGCATAGTATTTCTATTTTTGTATAAATAATTTATTATCTCATGTTATATAACTAAAACTAACCTAGTTTTCTTAATATTTACATTAGACGCCCTCTCTCTATTTTTTTACTTTGCTTTATACTCTTCTTCTCATCTGGATTGTTCAATCTTCCCACCAAACGTGAAATGTTGTAGGCGAGAGAATTGTAAACAAAAGGTATTACTTGTAAGAATTTGTTTAAAGTCAATTGTTTGACAGTTTTTAATAGATAAATTTGTGGTTGAGCGTCTATGAAGAACAGAATAAAAAAAAGAGCAATTTTTACATGACAAAGCCATCTGTTGTTATACTGTTTTGTAACTTTTATCTGCCTTTCTTCTTTCCTTTTTGTTTTTTAAAAAAAAAACATAACACCCTTTTTCTACCTTTTTTTCTTTCCAATATTTCCTAGGAGACTTTTTTAAATCTTTCAATAATGATACGTTAGAGGCCTATAAATCCGATTTTTTCTACTTTACACCAGAATTAAGTGATTAGGGGAAAAAATTGATTTTAGCTAGTCTTAATAAACAGATATGGATAGCGAGAGAGACAGAGAGAGAGAGAGAAGGTTTTTCTCTTTTCACTATTATCAAAGTAAAAGCTTACTTTTTAGAGAATAAGGTATATAATGTAGCTCATGTACTGCATTTAGGATAGCGACGGATAGCATCTAAAACAGAGAAAGCGCTAAGAGATATATAGCAAATTAGCTTGGATTGTTGTGTAAACTTGATACGAATGTCGAGTACTCGATTATTCATTAATTGAGCACCTTTCGTAGTCGTTACTGATAACAATAATCTTAATTATGAGAAATGAAGAGAATTTTACCGGATGAATTAGATCAACTTGTCAATAAGCGAAAAAAAAACCTAAACGCAAAAGAACGAATGGAGAGAAAGAGAGAAAGAGAGAGAGAGAGAGAGAGAGAGAGAAAGAGAGAGAAAGAGAGAGAGAGAAAGAAAGAAAGAAAGAAAGAAGAGTACTAACATAATCAAATAATGAGCAAAGATGTCAACTTTTAAGTGAGAATATCGTGACAAATTATATGACGTTTTTTTTGTCAATTAACGATAGATTACCTCTGAGAAAGTTAGAAACTAATTGGCTGTTGCTAGGACTATTTTAAAAGTTAATTTTTTAATTTGGTTGAGTAAAAAATCCCGCCTTGAGGTAATTGTCACATTATAAGTCTTTCAGCACTTAGTACTGGAGACGCTCCGTACAAAGATATTGGAAAATTACATAGCAAGGATACGAGGATGTCATTTTACGCAAAATTTGTTTTTCCCCTCTTTACGGTTAAACTAACGACGGCAGCACACTAGTTTCTTTTTCCTTTCTCTTTGTTTGTATTTTTTTGCCGTCCTTATCCTTTCATTGTTAGATGGCGAATGAAGAAGAGGAATCTCTCTTCTCTCTCTCTCTCTTTCTCTCTCTCCCTGTCTCTCCATATTTATTTATAATGTATTACAGAGCGTTTAAAGTCATATTGGCTACATAGGCCTAATAGTATTATTATATAATATAGATATTTTACTTTTAAACTTTATTAAAGGTACGGAGGAAAAACGTGTATAAAAATTTATCCGATTTTCTACACCACTTGTTTGACAGCAAACGGAACAGGTTCAATCGTTAGTTCACACTATGGATTTGTTTGCAGAACATACATTTATTTTCCTGTAAGTCTGATAAATAGATTCGAATACTGTTTCATCGGCTAAAGTATTACGATATCTCTATTTGAATAGACTTGCGCCATTTCCGGTCTTTTCTATAATAAGAATCATAATCTTTATTTTGCGGGAAAAGCTAATTAATCACGTCTTAAAATAAAAACGATATAGTTTTTAAAGTAGCTATTATTTAAATATGGAAATTCCTTTTTCCTCGTTTCCTTGGCTGTAAAAGAAAAACAGGAAAATACTCTACTTTTCTAAACGATCTACCACTATGCCGCATTCTCTAATATTGACTAGTCTTGGAAGAAATGGCTTCTTCCCTAATTGCTTATGCCATATTGACATGATTTTCTCTCCAAAAGACCAACAAATCATTGGTTCGATTAATTTATTTCTCTATTTTCCTTTTGTCCCCGTTGCATTCCTTACCGTAACTGTTGTTCTTTCCTCCCATGAATAGATTATAATACTAATAATATAAAAGCTCTTTACCTAATGTATCGTTTAAGAAGGAACTTTAACTAGATAAGGACAGAAGAGAACAAAAATTATCAATTATATTGTTTTTTATTCATTTATTTAAATTCTTTCGCATAACAAAACATAAATCTAAAATTTGTTGTTTACAATTAAAACTAACCATTAGGATATAAATAACTATTTTTTCCTATTTGTCATTAACCAATTGAGCAGTAGCAATATATGATTATATGACTATGATATGTTATATGCGATTTTAATACGACATTAGATAATCTATTGCTTCTAATATTATTCTTTAATTGAAAAGATTATTGAACGAGCAGAAGCGATAAGAACGGAAGAAAGAAAAAAAGTAATTAAATCAATTGATTGATTGATTGATTTTTCAACTTTTAAAGAATATATCCTGTTTACTATTCATAGCAGAATTTATATAGAAAAAGAGAGAAAAGGTGAGTTTGTATAAGATGCTTATAAACAAAAGTGTACGATTTCAAGTTGTTATAGATTAAATTGAGCTAACGAACGATTAAATTTTGAACGGTTTCATAAGTCAATTATTAAATCGAACATGGAAAATTTTGCAATATTAAGATATTTTTTGATATAATTTTATACAGACTGCGAATCTATAATCATAATCCCATTTTCTTCTAACTAAACGGTAAATAATTAAAAATATTTTTTTCTGGGAGAGAAGATTTAAAGATATTGAATTTTTTTTCTATTTTGTTTTCTTTTTTTCTTTCCTCCATTTTCTTCTTCTTCTTTTTCTTCCTCTTCTCCTCCTTTTTACCTAGTTTATTGTTATACTTCTTCTTTATGAGATTTTCTCAATCTTTTGAACCAACCGCCCCTGTTGTTTTTGTAAGAAAATAACTTAGAAAAATTAGTACAACACTATAGAATGTTGTGATGCTTTAATCACATCTGTTACTTATTAAAAAGCCATTCCATGCTATACAGCATATATATATTAGTATATACAGTATATTAGTATATAAATAAAAGTATATAAAATATTATCCATTAAGTTTCTACCCTTTAATTAATGGTTCTACGTGCCATAACAACACTCCAAACTTTTCCTTTGAAAAAACGTTCCTCGTATTCTAGTTTATTTAATCTAAATCAATCTCTTTCTTTTGTTCTAAATTGTAACCTTTCTTTCGTTTGTTATATCTTTATCTATACCTGTCTTCGTTTATAATGATAATAACAATAAACGATACAATAGACACCCTAACTTTTATATTCACTCATTTTCTTATTCTTTAATTTTCAATCAATTCTCTTTAAGAGCATAATTAAAACTATATCATCTCTATCACTCTCTTTAGATTAGATAGAGTAGTTAAATACAATTCTATTAGTTATTTTTTTCTTTCTCTTTCTCTCTCTCTCTACGTTGTAGATGGCGTTTATATAATTATCGCCATCTGTTGTATATAATTGGAAAACGTATTATTTTTACCTTTTCTTCTTATCCTTCTTAGAATTATCTTGGGGTAAAATATTGTCAAGGGCTCCTAATTCGCTTTGAGTGAAACATCTTTCCATTAACTTTCTTACAACGCATATTAACAAAATCATCAGTGGGAAAGCGATTGAAGTTACTTTTATCGCTTTTACAACCCAAAGTAGACCGAGGCAAATACATTGAATCAGTGTAAACAAATGCACTCTCCAAGTTTTCACTTTTTTAAGAAAATTATACTCTGGTTGATGTTTTTGGGGCATGAATAACAATAGTAGACGGTCCACCAACTGTAATCCTCTCAAAGCTCCAACACCCATATACATAAACACCCCGTACAAAACTGGCATAGGAATCATTTTGAATACAGTTGTCAACTGAACGGATAAACCAATTAGAATCGAAACCAATAACATTGTGACTCTATTCTCTCTTATCCCATAAAATTCAGGCTTTTCTCCTGGTGCGGCTGCTTCCGATTCGACTCTTAACGAATTTACGTGAGTCATAGCTCTTACAGTGGCAGCTACAAACCAAGGTAGGCCCATAACAGAAGTCAATATTGTAATTATTGATAGAATGAAAATGTCCAAATGATAACCACCGCCTTTTTTTAGTTTATTCTCCTTTCTGTTTACGATAACAGCCGTAATCTGCTGATCCAAAAATATAAGAATTGTACACAACAGTGCCGGAACAATAGCTATTAGTATGGTATACCAAGGGTTTCCTCCAAGGGCTGGTACAATCCAACCCCTATCTTCCCATCTAGTTGGTTTGAATTGTTCCGGAACTTTAAGTTTTGGCGTGTCTAAACCAACTAGCCAATCTATTAGAACTGATATTATAACGCCGATAACAACGTTAAAATCGCTGACTATTTGCCGAACTTTTGATGGAAAGAACGGGCTATTTCTAAACGATTTTAAAGTAATAGACACGGTAAACATGACAATGAACAATAAAACCGAAAAGAAGAAAACATTTGGAACATAATTGCATCCATCTCCTACTGGATTACCCCCAATGTCTAGACACTTTTGTTTAGTTGCTAACAGTGTTGGAATAAGGGTAGGTCCCGTTGGCATAGTTGCATTTTCTAATGATGCTGTTGTGTAAGGCATAGAGGTGGTAGTAATGTTGAAATGACTGATCAGTGTGCTATTTGGTTTTGGGAAACAATAGCATTGACTCTTTTCTACATTGAAAGGATCGGTATTAACTCCATATTCTTTACGAATAGAAAGTAACTTCGAAATGGCTTGTTGAATGAAAATGATACAGATCAGGGTTGCGAACGCTTCTTCAGTAAATCTTGTTATGTAAGTAACAAGCGCCGATAAATCAAGAGCGCAAATGATTATGATAAATAATCCTGACCACACTCCTACCCAGAGTCTCATTGATAAGAAATACCATCCGAACGTTTTACATAGACGAAAGAGAATTGTTTCGAAAACCAACATTGGACCAGTTGCACCCAAAACAGTCAAAGGTTGCCCACAAAATAGAACGTATATTACTCCGCAAATGGCACCTGATAGGATCCCTTCCATGGCAGCTAGGTAATTGTCTGTTGCGGCTCCTTGAAGACCTCCAAACGTGATAATTGGAGAAAGACAAGCTATGTAAATGAATATTACTGAAGCTAAACACTGGGGGTGGAGAGCATCTTTAAAATCTGATAAATAGTGGGGTGCTTTTCGTTTTATATCCTGCACAAGACCGCCAAATAATCTTCCCGAACGAACAAGTGTTGCATCGCCGTGTTCCTCCGCATGATCTTCAGTATCCTCGTATTGAATAGATTCTTTGTCTTTGGCAATTGAATTTTTTGATGGTCTTTTCTATAAAAGTAAAATAGTTGAAATTATTTTCAAATTGACAATAGAAGCTGTAGACTTGAACAAGTATTTCATTGTTCATTAATGAAATATTCAAATATTTTTTCCTTTCTTATGAAATTATAAAGAAATTGTATTTACTCTTATTGGATGGCTAGGCAAGTTCGAAGGCGGCTCTATTCTAAGGCTTCTATCCCATTGTCCTGGAGGTAAAGCTGTTCCAGCTTCAATGCTTTCTTGGAAACCCTCTAGTAGGTCATCTTTAGTTTGGGCCGAGAATGCGCACGGTCTAAAGTAAGAATCAGCCAACATGGTGGCCATGACCCTTCCGATTTCCTTATAATCGTACATCAATTTCGGTCCAAGAAATAATATAAAAAATCTTGTAGGAACTAGTACTTCGGTTAAAGTTTCTTTAAGTATTTTTGGCTCTTTTAGCCTAATCCAAAGGCAAATTGGTTCATCAAGAAAATCAGCATGACCAACAAGAACGTCAGCAGCTTCGCAATTTTTAGGAAGATGTTTAGCAAACTTTTTGTTAGGCTGTAATAGATAAAGAAACAAAAGATGTAAGGATGGATATTGAAAAACATATTTATAACAAGTGCAGAATTCCTCAAAAACATATTTATATATTTCACAATAACAAATTTCTATGTTGTTCAATAACAAAGACGTTTCTGCGGTTTAAAGAAAACCATATTATAAATAGATGAATATAGTTTATTATTCAAAATTTGAATAAATCAACCTAGGAGTTTCAGCTCTAGTTTAGGGTTTGGTAATAGGTCTTTTTTTCTTTTTTTTATCTATTTAAATATTTTCCTTTCTCTGTTGTGCTTAATAAGATCAACGTTCGAGTTGTAATCGACTCTATTTCTCATATGTTTTTTATAAATACATGCTTTTTTTTCTTTTCTTACCGTAAATATTTCATCGTCTTTTCGACTGTCTAAATGCTCCAATAGGTCTGACATACTAGGTTTTTGGCTAATTCCTGTCACTCCTAGTTGGCTTGGTTTTAAAACGGGATCAGTACGCGAAGATCTTATTGGTGCTGGTGATCTATTATCGCTTGGAGTATTGGTACCACTTCCTCCTATTTAATATAGAAAGTTGATTTCTGTATTTATTATTATAATAGTAATAGTTGAATATACCGTCGCCCAATTTTTTGTATCTTCCCTTCAAATGTCGGTGCTTTTTGTAAAGCAATTTGCCAAGCTCTTCTAATTGCTCCTCCTTAAGATCGGTATCGCTTTCTAGCTTGGCGAATAACTTCTCAGTAAAATCCCTTTGATGTGCGACAGAGAGAAGAAAGAAAAGATAACATATTAATAGAATATATCTAATGTATATATATATATATATTAGTATATATATATAAAGATAAGTAGTTACTTGTAATTTTCGGCTTGAATGTCTTGAAGTAGTATTGCATTTTCTAGTACTTCTTTTGATTGATGTACAGCTTCGAGTGAAAGAGCAGCAACGTGAGGTTTCGACCATCTTTCTCCACCTTTTGTTTTTATTATTATTATTATTTTTAATAAAATAAGTTAATGAATAAATATCGTTTTCATACCTTCTTCTACGGTTTCTTCAAATTTGATTAAACGGCTCTTTTCTTTCCAAACATCTTTCTCATAGTCAAACTCCAAAAGTTCGCAAAGGAGACGTGGGTATTCTCCGATACAGTTTTCATTAGCATCTTCAATGAAGAAAGTTGGCGCGTCACCTTTGACGTCTAAAGACATTACCATATTAAAAAGGCGAATGAAACTCTTGTAAAAATAATCCGATTATATATGTTGTCAGTTTGACTGACAAACGTTTTATAACACAACGAAGACTGTCAATTTGTTTTAAAACAATCGCAGTATGTTTTCCACCAGAACTCGAGTGTCAAAAGTAAATTTTTCCATAAAAAAGTGTCAAATTAGTGAAATTAAAGACATAATTTTCGAGTTTTTTGTACAAAGCACAAGAATATATACATAAAGAGGAAGAGAGAGAGAGAGAGGAGATATAACAGCAAACTTTCTTTCATAAATATCTTCAATATTGTTTTTAAAAAAATTATTAAATATCATTGACCTTCTTTTTTATGATATTCTGTAGTTATAGTGCAGGGAAAAAACAAAAAATTTAAGGGCAACTATTAAGAAAGAGCAAGGTTACAGTGTTAGAGTTTGCTTAGTGTCCTTTATACATACATACAATATATACTAATATATATAGATATATTAGAAGAAAAGTTTTCTAATATATCCTCCTCGTCACGCTGGGAAAGTCTTAGGATTTAACAGTAATATATAATGATATTAATATAAAATAGAAGATTAAACTAATCTATATTTTCTTTCTAACGAGAGAATATTGAATTTATTGTTGAATATATATTTTATAGCAAAAATGGGTTAAGAATAAGAATTGAAGAAATGCAAGACAAAAGAAGGAAATAGTGGTAAATCAACCAATCATTCATAAATGTATTTGTATATATTATAGTCATTGTTAAAGTTTATTGACTCCAATAAGGTTTTAAGCGGAATTATTTTCATATGTTTTCTTTTATCATATTATTTATAGAATCGATTAAGCTAAGTAGGAAAACTGTAGGATTTAGGCTCAATTTTATACCTCTCACCTCTTAATTTAAATTTAATAGGCATTTGATTGTCTTTTTAAATAGGAAAATTTTCCGTCAAGATGTTTCTTAAACGGTTCATATTATTCAATTGGACTTGTCGCGCTATTTATAAACGACCGAAAACGAAATTTTTCAATTCATCAATCAAAAAATATCTACCCTCTTCACAAAATTTTGGCCTCTATTGATCTGCGAATTTTTGTATGGCCTTTTTTCCTTTCTTTATCTTTCTCTTTCAATCTTTTTCTCTACTTTTCGCTCTTTCTCTCCCTCTCCCTGACATGTTCTTTTTTAGAATTTCGTAAGTTTTAACCAATTTTTGATTAATCACGTCTTTGTAACATTACGTGAGCGAAAAGTCTCTCTAGCAAGGTGTAATTTAATAGGTAGAATAACTTATTGTGTCAAATTGTTAAAAAGCATAAAAAGGAAGACGAAAACTTTATGGTAAAAACTATTTTATGTAGTTTTGCGTCTAGATGGCGTTGTGAAAGGGTATTAAACTTTCAAAGTGGAGGAAACACACCAAAATAGGTAATGCGTATGTGGAAGAGAAATGTAAGGAATTTCTTTTTTATATAAGACGCATAATAATAATAACAAAATTTTTAATATATAAGCTCATTTCTAATACTTATTTCTCGCCCCCTTCCTCCTCTTTCTCCTCTTTCTCCTCTCAAATCAATAGCTAGCTTTCCAAATTCAATTGAACGCGGAGAATTTACTTTAGACAAAAATTATGTAACGAAATATTTTTACACTCGATAATTGATAGAAAACAGATTAAATAATCAACAATTACTGAATGAACTGTAGACATCTGCTTACATCTATATTTTAACTGTATACAATGTACGCATTAGTAGTTAAATAATGCTCTTATTACTTAAACTCCTTAATAGAAGATAGGGAAAAGAAGAGAAAACAAAGGGGAATACTAATTAAAATTAAAAATATTGTTATTGTGAAATTCCCCAGCAAAACCTAAGAGATAGAAATAGAAGAACAAATGTAATGTTGTATAGTTCAAGAAACTTGTCTCTACTTTCGGCCGATAGCTATATACTATATATATGCTGTATAGTAAAAGCCTTGGCTTAGAACTTGTAAAAAAAAGCGATTTAAATGGAACAAAACTGTATAAAAATAGGGAATACAATATGTTTATATAATATATAAATATGTCTATTTAGAAACAAATTTATAATGAATAATTCCAGAAAAGGGATAAATAATCAATTTTTTCCCCCCGCAATCAAAATTTCCCCTTTCCTCTCTTTCTCCTTATTTTTCCCCTTTCTGTCAAACTATTTTATATTCTTATCTCCCCAGCAGCTTTTATCAAAACATAATAGCATTTTTCTCTTATCATAGAATATTGACACCAATACATTTATTTTTAGTAAAGTATTTTTCGATCACTCTGACGTCCAGTTAAAGAAAAACTTTGTACAAAGTTTCATCCTAAAATGACTAAGGATTTTATACTGGGTTCAAATGAATAAATACTGATTATGTACTGTAAATCAATAGATTTAATACAAGTGTTATATATTAGAATATAAACTATATACTTTTTACTGAGAAAGAATAACAAAAATAAACAAACAAGCAAAACAGTTACATGCCTTTTTTCTATAATTTCTCATCCTTTTTTCATGATTTTTTTAATACAGTTTGTTGTTTTTGTTTTCTTAGAGAAAACAGAAAAATAAAAACAGTCAGATCAATTTTAATAGCCTTTAAACAATTATTATAAAACAAAATACAAAGAGTTTTATTATTATTTTTGACTCTCTATCTTTCAACATTTTCTTTTAACTATATATTGTTTATATATATATATATATATATATATACTGTATTGATATATATAGCTTTAGTATTATCTTTATAGCGAATTTTATTAAATTGTACATAATATTTTCGGCTCTTGTCCTTAAGATAATTAAGACAATATATACAATTTCTCTCTCTTTCTACTCTAGTTATATATGTAATAGATTGGATTTAGGGAAAAACTTTATCTTCCACTCTTCCCTGTATAACAAATATACTACGCCTATAATCGATACAATACAACTAATTAATCCCAATGATTATCTATTTAATGCTTTGTTTTAATTTATTTATACTTTTTTCTGGTCATTTTGAAAAGAATCAAAATCGATTATTACAACAAATGGAAATGTGTTAATGTTTGAACGAGGGAAAAATACAGTTAAAGAGATACCTCGTGTAAATAATACGTTAACTAAAGCTGAAAAAATTGAATATACCTAATCGACTTACTGTTTGTCGGTCTCAAACTACTGACATCTATTGGTTTGAATAATCCTAATTAAAACATTTATCCGTCTAGGAAAACTCTGAGAAAATAGCAATAATCAATCGAATAATTCGTTATTTCAGTCTATCAAAATTATAAATTTTAACTAGCCTATTTGTTTTTTTTTTATATAAGTTCTGTAACAATATAACTGTTCTTTTATCAATCAATCTGTCTATTTATCCCCCGCTCACTCACTCGCGGACACAGATATACACTCTCTCAATCTCTCTCACTCTCTCTCTCTCTCTCTCTCTCTCGCACTCTCCAATAAATCAAAGTGTGTAAAGAAAACATTAATACTACTAATAATAATAAAAAGATAATTGTCACTTATAACATTTATAAAAAAATCTTTTATATCAATAAAAAAAAATTATTTGTTCAACAAATTTTTTTATGGATTAAGTTTCAAAGAGAGGAAGAGAAAGAGCAAGAGAGAGAGAGAGACTGACTGAGAGACAGAGAAACGGAGAGACGATTTAGGAAAATAAACGAAAGCACCGCTAAAAATAAACACCAGATGCTTAAGATGAGAATATTGAAACTCAATTTAAAGCGTTTGTTAATTACATAGGAATGATAAAGTAGGTAAACGATTGAACACGTAATTGCCCTCCATTGAAAAGTCGAGTTTAAAAAGGGTCGTTAATTAATAACTAGGCAAGGAAAAATTAAAAACTGTTAAAATGTTAAAAAGGTTACCAACCTTGTGCCGTATCCTCCGACATGCTTATCAGACAGGACAATTGTAAAAAATCTTGAGCTTTTAAGGTAAATGCGTTAGGAAAACGCCTCCTTCTCAAACTGTTATCGAGCTACAGATAGAAAGTGCTTAGATAAAAAAAATCATATCTGTAATATGAACGTCATAATCGATTAAAAAAACTATACAATTTACCCTATCTCCTTATCTAAGAATAATAGAGAAAAATTGAATTTACTTTTAAAGAAGATTATTAGCTGGAACTATTCAGCTTGAATGTCGTATTGAATCTGACGATGTCTGATTTAAAATATTTCATTAAGTTCAAGCGTTCCACTTGAAAATCGCAAATTTTCAAACAAAATTTACAATACTTATAAAAGTATCTGAATTATGCACTATTATCTTATCAACAGTGTACACGTTTCAGTTCGATAAACTTACTATACTGTAGGTTAGCGTATACTTATACGCAACCTAATCATACAACAATAACAAAAACTATAGTAAGTTTTGTCTGACTTGGCCATTCTTTGAATTTATATTTAGTGTGTATATTAGCAGATATCTTTTCATAAAATATTCACTTGTTCAATAATTCTCTTTTCTCTCTCTCTCTCTCTCTCTCTCTCTATCCTTATCTCTGTCTCTATCTATCTCTGTATCCGGCTCTTCCTCCCCCTCTTCTTCTGCTCTTTAGTATGTTTTCTATTGTTTTTGTTTTTGTTTTACTCTATATATATATATATGCGTATTTTCATCTATGTGCGTAGATTTTATATCATTATTTCATAGTAGGATTAACCTAATTCTTATGAAACCCTTCCTCTCTTTTCCACCCTTTGCGATTTTCTACACTTTTGGCTATTTCACTCTCTTAATTTTTCTCTCTTAATATCTCTCTATCTATCTATCACTTGCCTACTCTTCTCCGCCCACTCCCACCCTCCTGCTCTCTTTGGCGAGACATCTCCCTAAAGTACTTATTCATTCTCACGTTTTCAATTTATTAAGAGAAATAGAAGGCACTTAACATATTTAATGTTTTAGTATCGTCGTCGGTGTGGACTCTTTAGAGGTAACACCTGTTTCTTTATCAGATTAAACGACTCGATGGCAGGTTGATTCGGTACAATTAGCTAATTGATAACTCTTTATACCTTAATCTATTAACTACCCTTTTGTTATGGCATTTTTGTCTTTTTAAGGAGGTATAAATGAACAAATTATCTAACGGTACTCTGTGTTATCGTTGCTCTAGAATATTACAGCCACTCTTATCATCTCGGCGACCTTAAAAAAGACCCAAGCGTTATTTTTTTACACCTAGTGACGTCAAACAAATTCCACTTATATCAATTAGACACAATATGAATCTACTGATTAGTTTTGATTGTTACAGAGTGATTTAAAGAAGGTAATAAAACCTAAACAATTGATCAATTGTTATACTGTAAATGCTGTTTAAATGATTTTAAATTCCAGTTTTTATTATCAATTGTACATTAAATGTATTTAATATACAGTATACTGTATGTGTATTGAATAAAAGACTTTTTGAACGCTTAAAAGGAGGTTAGATAAGATTTATTTCTATTGTAATGTGCTATAAAATACGATTACAGAAGGTCGATTGGCGAATGGAGAATTACAATTATTCAGCCATTTTTATGCAAATTAATAATTGTCTTTTAGGCACGACGTACTCATCTACCAACAATAGTTCAAGGTACTCCAACGTACTTGAGAGTAAAATAAAACAAAGCCTAAAAGACAGAGGCAATAGCATGTTGAAATGAGATAAAGAAAGAGGCAGAGACTGCAACAAGAATCAGAAAGATGAAATCGAGAGAAAGAAAGAAAAGTTCTAAACAATATTGAAATAAAACAAATTGAATAATAAATAGTATCCAAGCTAATATAAGCATTTAGCCTTAAAATAGAGAGAATTTTTTTTATATATTAAAATAATAGATTTTTTATCGGTCGGCGGGAAATTTACAGAAGGTTCCTTGAATAACGAAAGGTTGAATTTGAGGTTATAAACGTGATAACTTGACTAGTTCGATATCGTTCCAAAGTATAAGCGACAATATCTGGTGTGACTCTTTGGTATTTTTTGATAATTACTTATCTTTTCACCTATTTCGTAAAATGTATTAATTAATATGAGCCTAATATATCGTTCTTCGGGGATAAATCGTTTAGGGAAGAGGAACTAAATATAGAATAAGATAAAGATGTGTCTGTGCATAAATATAGTTTAAATTGTGTCCTGCAGACGGAAATGATTTAACTAAAGGCAGCAATTTTGTCGCAAAGGTATTCTTAACATAGCGTGCTTACAGAGAATAATTTACCCTTATGCGGAACATTGATCTTCTAATTGATGAGCATTAGAGCTTTCCTATGCTTTGTAGGAAAAGAAAAGGAAAGACAAAGGAACATCGTGGTATATTTTTATTCAGAGTCCAAAAGACAATCTAGCTCTCTCTCTCTTTCTTTCCAATTCTATACAGCATATATCAAAGTATACGACACTCCATCCATCTCTCTTTCTTTAATTCTTAGTATTTTAACTGTAAAGCATTTAGTTACGTTTAATGTTCTTGTTGAATGTTTTAGATATCTTATTGCGCAATTATTAAAAGCATAGTCAGATAGCGAAAGATAGTTTTTCGCTATTAATTCCCCAACAGAGAGATACTGAGGAAAGAGGAACAGGGTGAAAAGAATGGAGACGTCAGCAATCAGTTCAAAAACTTTTGCATTGGAGTTCGGTGACTTTATCAAATATTTTTGTCTGCCATCTTAAAATAATCAATTATAATCCAAAAGTATGATTAGATTTCTTATTCGACTAAAGGAGTACAATAGACTATAACAGACTGTGATATGAATGAATATAGTGCCTGCATGTTTATATATGCGGTATATATGTATATTTATATATTTACAAACATATTAACTGTATATGAATTGTCAGGACAAGTTGTATAGTATCTGGAAATTGTATACTGTAATAACAATAGCATATACAGCATTGTATATGAATACTATATATCTCTTTTGATATCCAAGTTATATACAATCATATGTAAAAATATATATATATATAGATATATGCAGTATACAGTATGTATTTAAATGATCAGCCATATCTGCAATATCATAGTCTGCTGTTTTTTTTATATAGATATTTTTGGTATCTTAATAAGCGAAAGAGAACTTTGCTATCATAATTTTTCAACAATAAATCACTTTACTAAATGACTTTGCACTGTCAAATTTTTATTTCACACCAAATTATGAATAATCTTATGTAATTTAGGTAATTTTTCGTTTTTAAGGTAAAGAGAGAATTGAATAATTGTTCATCCCATTCTTAACATTTGTCTTTTTCCCAATTGTAACATTCCATGGTCCTTTTTACCCAACTGCAGCATTTTGGATCCTCTTTTACCCATACGCAATAATTTCACATCTCTCTTCTCTTTACCTAGTCTAGGGAGAGGGGCAGCTCTATAACCCAATCGCGGAAGAGCTGCTCTAGAGTCCTCTTGAAACTCATTCCAATCGAGTTCACTAACTCGTTTATCCTCCAATCCTAATCTAGGTAAGGGTGCCGCTCTCAGTAACCCTAATCGAGGAAGCGGAGCCCTTTCACCAAGCCTTGGCAAGGGAGCTCGTTCTCCCAACCTGGGTAAAGGTGATCTCTGTCTCAGAATATGTAGGGTTCTCTATATTCCAATTTATAGAAAAACAACATAAAACGTTCAAGAGAATTGAAAAGCATTAAAACATTTTTTGATATAACCTTTTGTTCATCGTTCAAGTCTCCGATGTATCTTTTACCCATTCTTAGCATTTGTAAATCCCTTTTCTCCGCCATCAAATTCTCTCCGTCATCTATAATAAAACAAAAATTAATTGAGCAGCACCAGAAGACCTTAATACCTCTCCCATGGTGCTTTAAGACTACCGTATACTAATATCCGCCTTTTTTGAATTAGTTCAGGTGATATTTATTGCCTTGTCAATCAAATATAATGCTTAATTGCCTAGTTTCTTTGAAATTGAATTTTTCAATATATAGAATTCCCTCAAATCAGTTGAGACAGCAAAAAGAAAAATCAAGAAATAAACAAACAAACAAACAAACAAACAAACAAAGGGAAAGATGATTGTTAAAATATTCATTTATGTCAATTTCTTTCACTTGACCAGTTCTAAATTCTGTTCTTTCTATTCTTAAAATAAACAAATTTAGCGTTTTCACTTTTAGTCTTTTTTCAATTAAAGAAATCAAGAGAAACGTTTATATATCTTTTCAATGTAAAACTTACCGCTTCTAATAGAGTTGATAGCGACTAGAAGAAGAAAAAACTTGATGAAAGCAAAAATCATTCTGCTAACTTTGCTGGAGAACTTTTGCTAAAACTGCAAATCTTACCCCAACCACTTTTATAAAGAAAACTTTCTCATGAATATTAAGTTCCTTGTCAACGAATGAATAAACATTACGTATATTTTATCTTCATCAAGGAATGGTAGGAGAAAAAAGGGTTTTAACCATATTTTAGGGGGATAAATGATGAATTAATCAATCTGAAGGATACAAAATGAAGAGAGGTATTTAAGGATGACAAACTTAACAAATATATACAATCTCAGTAGTGAATATATTAGATGTATAATATATATATATAGTATATAGATATCTATCATTTTAATATACCACAGAGACTGTTTATAATATCTAGATTGGGTGATTTAATAGAAATCGAAGTGTTTTCGTAGTTTTTCCAACAATTAAAAACCGATGAACAATTCATGTTTGCAGTTCAGTGTTTAAATATACAAATACTGTATATTAGATCTATTTATATATATATATATATATATATATATATATATATATATATACTGTATATACACCATTTATTGAAAAGAAAAATAACCTGTTTAGTTAATGATCAAGTTACTAAAGGCAAGAAATTATTGATAAAAGTCTTTCTGTGTTTAGATGATCTATGATAGGACAATACGTTTTAGCTTTCTTCCTCCTTTATACCTTCTATCAATATACTGGTATAGTACTGCAATTATATTACTATTTATATTAGCGTTTTAAGTAATAATTTATAGACTGCTTGGTTTTATTACTCTCTTTCTCTCTCTCTCTCTACAAAAACTTACTGATTTAATGAATAAAGACCTATTGGATTTAAGATTATTGAAAGAAATTGGATTTAAACGTTTGAAAGAAAACGATAAAGAAAAGACAAAAATTGCAAAGAGTTTTCATTCTTTTCCATAGAGTGATAGCAATGTTATTCTATACAAACTACTGATTTTATGGGTGATGGAAAAAAATAAATCGTGAATAATGAATCGACATAACCAGTATTTGTTCAATCAAGTCAGGGATAAAATATAGAGCTCCATCTATTGGTGAATTTGCATCTGTATAATCTTTCCATACATATTATATTATCTATCAAAAATGAAAGAATAACAAATTAGAAAGCGCTAACCCTCCGGAAGAGAAGCCGTAAAACTGTTCTTTAATTTATTTACCAGCAATGAAAACTCAACAACAGCCAGCGATTCGAAATGAAGTTTATACCAAAGATGGCGTTGTTCTACGCCAAAGAGAGAGAGAGAGAGAGGTGAGGGGGAAAAGGGAAAAGAAAGAGAAAGTTATGCTAATTAGGGATATTTTATATACTTTTTGATACTAAATTTTCCTTAGATAAAAATGAAAAAGAAAAGTACTCTTTCAAGCTGGCCAGTTATTTCTTCTCAATTAACGAAACGTATATTAAGATCGTCAACTCCGCAGCTGGCTTCTGCAAATGAATTTGCCTCCAGTTATTAGAAACATAATTGATATTTGATATGAAAATCTTTTCTATGTTTACTGAAGAAAATTAAATGCTCGAGTGGAGAGGAAAGTTGAAGAAAAGAAAAGATAATCACAACAACGGTAAATCTTCCCATAAGGGTATCTACCCATATTCGGGCCACGAATTAACATTTAGCTGGTGCTAAGCTTATCGAATACTAATCCAGTCTCGAGGGACCCGAGTTCGTTTTAAATATCCGTTAAGACTTGCCAGTCAAAAATAATAACCGACTTGCAAATGACTTATGACCAGTAGCGACTCCTAGCCAATATTTTCTTTCTTTTCTAAACCTACTTGTCCATTCTTTCAATAGATCTAATCTCTCCGTCAACTCGACTGCATTGGCTAACCAATGTAGCAAAAAAGTGAGAGTGACATAATTACTTTCTTTTTTTTTTCCATTTGTTTTTGGCGGGAAAAAAATGAAACTAGAATTACTGAGGAAAAACTTTTTTTCCTCGTCAACCGCCCTTCAATCTTCTTTAAGAGTATATAGTTATATAGTATATAATCTATATTTCTAACTTGAAGTCCGAGCTCCCAAGAAAATGTAACTGTCCGCAAGATGGCACTTTAGACGACGTTTAGAACTCGGTTTTTTTAATTCTATATTCATTTTGTAAATATGTTTTATAAGACTTTCCATTGCTCATCAGTTATCTCCTTTTTTTTCCCTTACTATTTCGGTGGGGATAAAGTTTACTTTACTGTCGAAATATTAACTAGGTGGCGCCTTTTGTTGATTAGGAAAGTTTGTTTAGCAATATCGGAATTTTTTTTAATTAGTATTGAATGTTTGATGAGTTGGAAAGCTTAAAGAGATAACTTTACGGTGATATATATGTGACTAACTATTAATGAGGAACTGCATAGAGATGAACTATAGATGTGATTTACACTTTTCTCGTTCTTTTTAGACATTTTCTGTTGACTCCTCCTATTACAGAGAACGAATCGAAATAAACACGATAATTGGTCACTTCGTTTCCTATTTTTTAATCATCCTTAATAGACTGTTCTTTAAGAACATCGTAATGCTTTTAAACTATACATTACACTGCCTTTTATAAACCAGAGATGCTTTAAAGACGTCTCTTTCTTTCTTTCTCCTTCCCTTTTTTTTAATCCACCTATCATTTTACGTAAATCAGTTTGGCTATTAATTCGAACAGCTCTTTTCCGATTCCGATTTTATGAAGTTTTCAGTAATTACACTCCTTTTTGATGAAAACTGTAAATTGTATTCAATTAGGCTGTCAAGCGTCATTTGTTAAGTGAAGCTTGCGGATAAGGACTTATCACCGCAGGGAAAATGATACAAGAGTAGGATACGAAGGGGGAAAAAAGCCACCTCAGCAAAAGACAAACGAAGGGGACAGAAACCACGAGAGTAGGGAAATAGAGTAAGAAATAACAACGCCACCTGTTGGCGATAGATCTTCGATTTGGGCAGAAGGGAGAGTAAAAAACGCCAAAGCTCATCAATGTGCACCAGTGCGTGCGCCTGTAGCAACGGAATAACAATCGGCGTGAAAAGTTTGTCACCAACAGCAGTTTGTAATGCTTTTATCAATCATTTCCTCTTTCTTTCGAGCCACTTTGTGCTGCTTTTTCTTATTTACAGGTTTGTATGATCATTTATAAGTGTAAAAGAGTAGAAGCAAAGCTTTCATTTTCTTTTTAATTTTGTAACATGTCTAAGTTGAATAAAAGACTTATGGACTTTAATATTGAATGTATTCGTTTATCGATGAAAGTACAATAGTGTACATATTGAGTAAATTTTCTCTATGTAGATATAAAAGAAAGTACGAAAATACTCCTATCTTTATCTTTCTCGTATTGTTTCATATACACATTAACATTTTAATATATTACCTTTCAAGAGTTTTATTGATATTTACTTCAAAACAAAAATAGAAAGAAATTAGTCTTTGTGGCGATAAGATTCAGATCGTTGAACTAGTTATTGATTAAGAATGATTAGAGATTAGTATATTTACGATTTATGGCGTTTGTAGTAAACTTATCGGGTGAAAGATAAGATATTTAAGTACTTTAGACTGGCTAATTTAAAAGTTTAAACCATATTCTCCCTCTTTTTTTTGTATATATCTCACTTTATTGCTTGTTGTGATCTATGTGAAAGGAAAAAGATGGATGAAAAGGTAATAAGATGACGCTCTTTTTGTTAATGTTATACAAAAAAATTGTATAAAAATTACACTGTAAAGAAATAAATAAAATAACCTAATTGGATTGGTAACGTCATCTTTTAAATTATCATTGTACAGTTGTCGAAATGCAATGGGAATGTTATCAATTTCGTTTTATCAAACAATATCAGACTTTTAGCTAAACATCGCATCGAAAACTAGGGACCATCGACAAATGGAATGGTTAGGAATGCGTTGATAGGAGAAAAGTATGACGATTAAATGTATATGGATTAATAAAGATAGCACGAGATTGAGTATACTAGTGTAAAAATGTAGGAGCGGACGAAAAGGAATAAAGAATTGAAGAGAAATAGATACAGCCTATTGCCCTTCGTGTCTATTTGAATAATGGCATGAAACACCGAAAATCCGAGTAAATTATAAAACGACTTATCGTTTGGCAATTTTACAGACTCCAATTCGTGTTTGAAATAGTTACTCGACCTACTGCAAAGCCATAGCCAGACAAACAAACCCGCCTAATACCGGCATACTATCGTTTAATTAGCAAATTAGCGACAAATTGTAGGAGAAAACTCTTCGCCTGGTACTTTCACTATTAGCACTATTTTCCTTCAACTACTCTCCAAACCTCCTTAGAACTTTTTTCAAAGATCCTAGAGCTGAATAAGAGCCTTTCCAAGGAGGAAAAAAACCCCGACAAAAACTTGTTTTCCTTCTTCTTTTATTATTGAAATTATTTAACATTTTTCAATTCCGCTAATTGTATAGCTTTACTACTGCATTTCTCACCTCTCGACTCAATTAAACCGCAATACTCGATCGATCGTAAAACTATCCAATTTTCAACCTATTTAGCCAATTGAACACTTCGGTAGATAATGATAAACGGCGACAATTTAACCATCTCGTCTTAACAGATAGATTCTAATATTACTCTATAGTATCTACCATTTATTGGTAGACCGTTTTAAGAAGGCATTTTGCCGCCCTCGCCCGTCACCCCCCTCCCCCTTTCTACAACAAACATCTGCAACAGGACTAGATAATATCGAAATTTCAGACTGCCTGCAACCTTCTGATAGTGTTGAAACGAGATCGATGACGCCAGCGCCACGCCTTGGACATGTTCTATAAAAGAAATGGCGAAGAGGGAAGGGAGGGGGGTGGCGAACGGCCATTTGTTCGAAAAGTTAATATTTAGCGATTACGACTGTCTCTTATCAGCTTTTGATTAGTTTGTCTGATTTCATTTATCAATTTCATAGATAGAAAAGCATAACTATATTGCTTTGTTATCTTAATCGTGAATCAATTTGTAAACATTTCCTAAGGTTGCGTAATAAAATATAGTA